CGTTTGTATCAGCACCGTTTTCCAACAAAATTTTCACCACATCAACGTGACCAAATGAGGAAGCATTATGTAGTGGAACCAAACCATTATCATCTGCTTGGCTTACATTTGCACCAGCCGCAAGCAATGCTCGAACACAATCTATTTTCCCGAAACCGGCTGCATAATGCAGCGGCGATGAGTGACGATTGTTCAAATCAGGCTGAGAAAAACCATAGAAAAACGGTAAATTTCAACAATCCATATCAATTTCAAAAATGTTCTTAATTGTATCCAAATATCCAAATAGCAGAAAACAAAAAAGTTAACTACTTGCCAGAAAGACCTACTTTTTTTCACTGTTTGATGTCTCAAGCTATATGGTTCACGAAACTGGACTGAAATGATTTTTTATTGCTGATTAATGGATAGCAATCTTGCAGTAACTTTATTATTGCTTCTGTAGGTGTACCTCTTATTTCATCCCAATGAAAAATCAATATTTAATAAAACTGCTTCATAATGCGCTATATCTGAGCGTCGAATTATTCTCATTATTGCAAGCGCATTAGGATCGCTAGGGTAAACAAAACAATCTAACATACTTGATTTACTATTCCAGGTTTAAGAAGTTGCGACAAGACTGATAAGTCACCTTTTTTACATGACTCAAACAGTTTTAAACATTCTTCCTCATGATGTCGATCTAAAATTTATAGTCAAAGATCACAGCTTGAAAAATACAAAAATGACAGCAAAATTTCCAGCTTTCATACACTTATTGTTGATATGAATTGATACCACTTACCTCCACGAATCTTTCAATCTGATACTTAGATGTCAGATATTCTAGCAACTTTTAAAATTTTACGTCAAAAGAACGGCTTATCTGATAACTCATGCCTTATATCCCTCACTAGTCAATTTCAAAAACAATTATATAGTATTTAATCACTGAATATCAGCTAATATTTGCTTCATCAACTTGCACCGCATAGAATGCTGCAAAATGCATGTATAAAAGCAAACCATGCTATAGAATGAATGAAACATATGTCACATTATCATAGCTTATAAGGATTGCTTCGAGAAATGTATTTACCACGGTAGCCATTACGTTTGGTGGCTGTAAGAACTCGCGTGAATTGTCGTTGTTGTCGTGCACGTTTGGGAGTCATAAACTATACTTCGATATTTCCTCTAAATTCCCCATGAAATCAAAGTTCTCTACAAACCGGACGAGACGATCAGGAAATACCATACACCTGACGAGCACCACTCTCAAAAATTTGGGCCGCATTAAATATGTTCAACTTCAAGTGTGAGCTTTCTTGATGGTTGGAGAGGAATACATTCTTTGATGATGATTTCGAATTGGGATTTAAATGAATGGGGGATTATGCAGTGATTGTTTGACGAACTTATAAGTGAGCTCTGAAATATCACATTGCCAGGATATCCCGGGTTCTGGATCTACCAGCGAGTTCCGTTTGTTTATAGGTTGCAATAGTTAAGCCTGAATTTTGAATATTGTTTTCTTATTTTGTCTAGCTCTTTAATATTACTTTGTTTGAAAATAATAGGTAGGAATTAATGGTAAATTAAGATTTTCACTTGACGTCTCTTTTTAAAAATAAGTCATACATATACATTACAAAAACAATCTAAAATTAATTCGATGTGCATGAAAAATGAATGCAGGTATATGACATAATCAAATCTTTATGGGTCGGAAAATAATGTGCTTCTCAGAAGTTGCGAATTATAGCTGGAGAAGCGGAGTTCAATGATTTAGATGGGTTTGAAGATCGAGATATACCAGGAAAAAATGTTGGCAGAACAGTTAAGCCGTTCTCTGCATACATTACATACTTTTATTAAATAAAGCATATATAATTTAGAATAAATTCAGCAAAATCAGGGCAGATTCTATGCTGGAAATAATGGAAAAGTTGGTTCATATTATATAGTAATTAGACATTTCAATGCATCCATTCTTTCTCTGGAAACTTGATTGGACCTTAAAATTTTCCGTACATCCTTATACGGTTGGATATTTTGAAAAGCTTTTCATAACTTGCTTTAAGATTTATGTGAATAAGAAGTGAACTCCAAAAAAGTGTAAATTTTTAGTATTGTTAGTTTGCGAATTCCTGCAGTATCTGGAGAAAAATGGGACTGAGAAATTTCAATAAATACAGAATGCAGGTTACCGCTATATTATAGGCAATGCATGTTTAGTTCACCATCGTATATAATTCAAGAAGCTTTTTATCAAGGACTGAATTGCTTCAGAATTATTTTCATAAAATTTACTGTGATCTTCCAAGTTCCTAAATTCTATGCATATATTGACTATACTGCAATTTCCGAAATAATTCCAATAATGCAGAGAGTGTAAGTGTGAATATTATTTCTAAATTGGGATTTATCTATTTTCTAAATCTTTTCTTTATAATAATGCTAAGACAGGAAAAGAAGGGAGTACTTCCTACCTCTCTTCTTTTCCTTTCTCCTCCAGTTAAATTCTTTTTTCTGCGATATATCAATTCAAAGTAAGTCAAAGTTTCTCGTATTTTTAAAGTTTATTTCCCGAAAAAGAAAACTGCGCATCTATTGTCAGCAGCACTTCGACATACTTTATTTTTGACCTGCAGTAAATGTAATTGATTCATCTTATTTTCAATACGATAATTTGTCATTAAATATTATTTGCATGAAGCAAATACTTCATGCAATTTAACTTAAATACATATAATTGCATGAATGAAATATAGAATAAGGATTCCTCACAAATAATGTGGTGCTATGTTTCATATTTGATGTCATAGATACAGCTAGTAGCATAGCTTGAATTATTCCGGAATTGCGAAAACAAGTCAAACTACCTGTGAAAACTTTCCTTGCAGATGTGTCATTGAACAAATTGTTCACAATAAATACACCGTCCTGCAAATAACTTTTAATTAATTACGGAAAATTAATTATGCACTTAGCACAGTGTGACTTACGATAGCGACAAATCAGTGTAAGAAGTTTAAAATAAATCGAAAAGATACNCAAATTGTTCACAATAAATACACCGTCCTGCAAATAACTTTTAATTAATTACGGAAAATTAATTATGCACTTAGCACAGTGTGACTTACGATAGCGACAAATCAGTGTAAGAAGTTTAAAATAAATCGAAAAGATACTACATCATATCATGTCACATCACTAGTCGAAGAATAGCAAAAGTCATTCAGGTTCCCATTAATTTTTGAGCTTGATGTTAGCATTAAAGTATAAATTTGCTGCTACCTCTGGTTTTGTTGAAATATTAGCACATACATGAGTATTATTAGGAAGATTCGTTATAGACCATCACATGACCGCAACATTAATGCCAAGTGACCTCAGTAGAAATGTAAGATATCGTTAGAGAGGAAGATTTTAAAATCATTTTTTCACTTCCATTTACCTCTCAAGTCTATTCAATTTCTGAATGAGAGTACGAATCAACAAACTGACATAATTTTGATAATTCCTGTAAATATGTTGCTTATGGAATGAATAACGTTCGTTGTGACTGGTCCCGTTAATTTGAATGGCATTTCAGAAATGTAATATTAACAACTTACGGCTAGTCAATGAACATGCAGTTGAGATGCAAAACAATTGAACTATACTGTGCAGAAAATTATTAGTGTTTGATGAATACTGAAAATTATGGTTGGGTCTAATTTTGGAAACAGATTTATAGTAGATTGAAAAAAGACTTGAAGAATTCTTGCTATATGCTGAATGATACTATTATAAGCTAAATTATCAATTTTTCTTGATATTGGCCGCATCAGCACTGTTTCAATAAGATAACTTTCAAACATCTCATTTCTGACCAATGCTAGCACATCTAACTCACTCGATATAAAAGCTGCAATTCCAAAAAAACTGAATTGTTTGAACTCAGTTTTTCAATCCTTAACTCCTGTAAATAAACGTGTCGTCCCTTCCCGTCAAGTTAGGCGACTCTAAACGAGTCAAGCACCCTACCTAGGGATACTTAATAGCTGGAATAATGCAAACGCTTTAATTTAATAAGCTTGGAGCTGCAACAGATTTCGGCATAAACGAGCATTTCTTATGTCATTGTGGATACATCGTAAAGACTGTTACAAAATCTGCAAAATCGAAGTTCAGCCTTAAATCGAAATTGAGCTCTATCGAAACAAGCAGGCCTGTAAAATGAAATGTTTATTAATGGTAAATTACAGCAGTATTTGATGCGTCAATAAATGTAAAGAGAAGGGAACACAGATGAGATAATAACGGAACCAAATAATACGTAATCCTTTTAAATTTAACTATATGCTGAAATGAAAGTAAAGCACAATAACCCATAATTTTTTGTAATCCCATGATTACGCAAATCAAAAGTAAGTATATGCGCGTCATACTGTATCCAATACTGCTATCAAAGCTACCGAATGCATCAAAAAACAAAAATATATTACAATTCATGATTTTTCAACTTTATCGTTCCCTAAGCAATCGAATATAATCTTAACACTATCTTGACTACCACTTATGCAAAGCTGGATAATTAATCTCCATAATAAAAAAGGAATTAGAAAACTAATACTTCTGTTCAACTTCTTGTTCATTATTTTTTAGCAATAATTTTAAATGATTTTAGAGATAGAATTCATTTCAAAATATTAATTGCAATTAAGGATCAAGAGCTGGAAAACTATCCCTCAACTTGTCATTACTCACTAAGTTTAAAAAAGACTTTCAATTCTTGCACTACTCCCAATTTTTGTAACCTCATGAATAACTAGATGGATAAAATGATTAAGCAGGAAATTTGAAAATAATCGTAAGATAATATTTGGTGCTCGATTAAAGAACCATCAAATAAAATGTTACATATGGGAATAGAAAACTGAAATTTTGCAGTTTGAGATTATGAAATCAGAGAATGTCACATTTGCTCTTTTTCTTCTTCTTTTGCTGCAGCGCAGCTTGTGTTGCCTTCTCAAACACTTCGCGAATACCCTAAATAAAGGTTTTCAATATTTGTTCTCAAAAATAAAAGCGGTTGTTTTGTTTTCTTCTCTCCTTGATTTTCATTTTTTTACCCCAATTCTATCCAAACCTACATAATTAATATATCTCGATTACATCTACTTCCCTTCCCTTCACTTCCGTTTTAGTTGAATTTGCTCTTTACACATACTTCTAATTCTTCGCTTTTTTTTAAAGTTCAAACAATTTTCCTTCCCTTAAATACCTTTTTTAAAAGCTTTCACGCAGCTTGTAATCAGTGGATAACTACTTTCTGGTCAGCAGAACACTATTCTTCCGGATCAACGAATGTAAAATATTGCTTTTCAGATCTTTCACACTATTGTTCTGACTAGTAAAGGATACTCAAACCACTTTAAATGTAAGTATATTTTATTCCTCCAGGTGTTATTTTATCCAGCTTTTTCATGACTCTTTTTTAAATTAGTAAGAGTATTACTAAAGAGCTATTCAATGCTTTGTCGTTATCCTTTTTCTAAAGAGAACAAAAAACATTTTTCAAATTCAGCAAAACTTACATCCTTTGCTTTGGCAGAGCATTCCAAATATGCAAAGGCCCCTATTTGCTCGGCTATAGCACGTCCCTGCTCTGGTCTTACCGGTTCCTGTTTCATCTTTGCCAACTCACGAATAGTCTGCTGATCATTTCGAAGATCTTTCTTGTTACCAACCAAAATTATTGGAACATTTGGGCAGAAATGACGTACCTGGATTTATTTATCATTATAGATAAGGACATAGTATAATTTTCTTTTTTGTAATACAAGTGCATTATTAAAACAATAAAGATAGTGATTAAAACCGACAAAGTTCCAACTCCACGTGAATATTAAAAAATATTAGGGATTGACCTCAGGAGTCCACTTTTCGGGAATATTTTCAAGCGAATCAGGTGAATCGATGCTAAAGCACATTAAAATAACATCAGTATCCGGATAACTGAGTGGGCGTAATCGATCATAATCCTCTTGGCCAGCCGTATCCCACAAAGCCAATTCTACCTAAACGAACAAAAAACAGAAATAAAAAAAACCTTACTAGTTTCTTTATCATTTCCGAAATCTTTTTATAACATCCTAATCATTTAATGATTGTCACTGATGAAAATGTTTAACATTACTGTATGCCTTAATTTTTCGATATTCTAACAGTACGTTAGCCGGTGCAGCGAATCTGTGAACTTAGAAGTTATAACTTTCTTATTCTTTCATCCGGAAAAAGTTCAGTATCAATATCGAAATACAGAAGACAAAAAATTCTACCGACTCCTTTTTTCTCTAGGCAAAGGATGTAACAGAGAGCTCAAGGGAGTATAAGAGAATGAAAATCCAGATTAAATAATAATTAACTTTTTATAGAAATCTATATTTACAGTTGAGATGCTATTTTTGATTTAGTGAAACACCATGATGCAAAACTGAAAGAAAAAATACAAAATAAACTACCTGCTTCCCATCAACTTCTATATCCGCAACATAATTTTCAAAAACCGTTGGAACATACACATCAGGAAATTGATCTTTACTAAATACAATCAACAAACATGTTTTACCTGAAACATATGCTCGTCTTTTTGCAAAATCCTCATCTTTGGTTAAAATTTCCTTCTCTGCATAAAAAACATAACTAGCCACTTGTAGTTTATAAAAGAGTTCACTACGGCTTTGTTTATCGCGCGATTTTTTTCACTGACAAAATGATTTTATTTTTGTTTTACGGTATGAAAGAATAAAGTCAAATAATAAATCACTAACCACAAGCACCATCACCAACAATAACTAATTTCTTCCGGATAGCCGCCATATGCGTAATACCAATACGAGACTAGATAGTACTTTTTTAATAAATCCTATAAATCTTTGCAAACACTTCGTTTTCAAAATAAAAATAATTCACAATTCGACAAATCGTGACAAAAGTACTGATATTAATAACTCCTTTATTCCTTCTTTTTACAAAATTATTGAAAGAAATCTGATGGGTAAAATCAGATTATCCCTTTCTTTTCTATATAACTCTCTTCTCAAATAAGACAGAAGCAAATATTCAAGGATAATTTTTGGGAAAGCAATGTCTTGATGTTTTATGATTTATCGCTAGCTAACCACCTGGGACAAAGTTCCTTCTGCATTTGTTATTAATCTCTGTTTCTCTTCACATATCACACTCTTATCTTCGACTTTTTAGCTTATGAGTGGAAAGGAAGTTGAACAAACATGGTAAAACAAAATTTTATTGAAGTGAACTGGGTACGAAATTTCAGGCATAATTAATATTTTGAAAATCTAGCTATGGAGCGAATAAGAATTAACGAAGAGTTCATAAGAAATATCCTACATGATCGATGTGAAACATGCAACCAGAAATATTCAGCTTACGGTAGGGAGACAATTCCGATTTAAACTTTAACTGCTTAATGGTACTCATAACAGTTTCGAACAACATTTTCAGTATTGATTTCAAGGATGGTTACTAGCGATTCTTTTTTTTCCGGCAGTTCTAGTGCATTCATTCATTTCCAATCTTCATTCCATTAGTAGTGAATAAGCATGTTAGAGTTTTCGATGACTAGAGCGACGAATGAAGATAAAGTATCGAAAGCTAAAATGGATAACTGTGTTTGCGCTGTCGCGCATCAGACAACTAATGAAAACTTCTTAAGAATTAGACGAAATCAGCACTATTTTGTTAACGAATTTCGTCTATATTAACTGGAGAGAATCAGTTAACATTTGAAAGAATCTGATGGACAACGGCTCCAATCTCATCAGTAGCCATCAAGCAACTTCGTGATTCGTTTTACGAATGAGACAGAATGAAGTAATCTGTACATTGTATTAATGTCGAGATGATAAGAATAATGGACAAACGTTGAAGAAATTTAGCAGCACAGACTTAATATCGTTACCATTACATGCATGAATTTTGAGCCAGTCGAGATGAATTTTCGTGATGTGAGTCACAGCTCACGAGCAGGAACTCTTTACAGTGCTATGCTTTTAGTAAAAGCCATTTGGATGGAACGAAATCAATATTTTGAAATAGAACATGGTCGAAAATGAACTGAAGTTCCTTCAGAGAATAGTGGTAGCTATGAATACAGCGAAGATTGTTTGGCTTAGAGTTAAACCAAGCCTTTATCCAATTCTACGAAAATGTAACAAGCAAGGCTTGGAATTTTAATACGAAAGCCTCGTCATATCAAGACAAATAACGGTGCTCCGAAACCAGAAACACGAAACCAATTGTTAAAAAGTTCCAAAAATTCCAAACAATAATCCATTGAGAAACAAAGTTCTCTGTGAACTTTTACAGTGAGCAATTCATTGATTTTCGGAAACCTTATATGAAGGTGGGAAGTAAATCTGTCAATGGATAAAAAGAAGACACAAGTGTTGAAAAGATTCCGTGTGGAACTTCGTATGGAACATCGATGTACTTCGAACGCTTCAATAAAGACAATAAAGAAGGGACAGAGGATTTTTAAAATTCAATGAGACCAATGTTCATTACTGCAGAGTTGGAGTTTCTCATGAGAACTAGCTGACTTTGAAAATGAGTGGTCGAACTTATCCTATTTGGTTTCTACTACAAAGCGTAGACATAAGAAACCAGAGAAAGAGTCTGGGATGAGCCCATTATTTTGAAATGCATGAATATCCAACAATTTCAACTTAATACTTCTAATGTTGAGGGATGAGAGCTCACAAACTTTTTTTGCACGAGAACCGTTCGGAAATGGATGCAAAATTCATTAATCGATTAGTTGAAATTGTCATAGCATGTGGTTGACAAGGACATTGAATTCAATTTGTGCGTGCATTTTCTAACTTCGAAGTGAAAAAGAAAACCATAAAGCCAAAGCGAAATTCTCTTCACTAACTCTCATCGAGGACTGAAGTCGGCAGTAACACTGCTACTTAGGGATATTGAAAACACGGCCCGCGAGAAGAATTGAACAATTCGAAGTCATGCATCAAGCCGAAATCCAATTACATACAGAAGCCAATATGTGATCCTTAACATCACTTTCCTTTTCAATTTTGCTTAGAAGTTATACGTAGATATTAGTTTTTTTTTTTTTGAAAATTGATGTACATACAAATGCGTCAGCCCAACAGATATCAAGCTGCTCACTTTTAAGATTCCACTTTTTCTGGCATACTTAATTTCAAGTTTCTCCTCTTAAACACTGTCTAATTAATATATAAAACTATCCATACATACTTAGTAAACTCTAAAAGCAAGACTTGCAATGTACGAATGTACGAACACAGTAAATCCCAGAAAGAAATCTAACGCCCCACCCAACAGGGACCGCTCTCCCAAGAACGCAACACCTACCGCCCTCTGTTTCATTAATCATCGTCTGATGCTAACGCGCTCCGCGTTCAGTCGTAATGTGCAACAGTGATGTCTCATCCAATTGATCTGGTATCCTTTTTTTGCGAGAAGAGTTGTTTCTGCTTGACCTTAGTGAGATTATATAATCTTCTCTACCCCTGTCATAGCCATAGATGAGATAACCTTTTGTTATGCATTGTGAGACATGCCGGAAACACAATGACTCATTTTATTTGTAATTTTTACAGTTATCTCTCGAACATAACTTTCCTTTTATTGAGAATGAAATTGTGATTTCTTGATGGGGCGTATTTCGGCTTCGAATGTCAAAATTTCCATAGGCTGTAAATTGACCAACAACTCTAAAACATCCTTAATTTCATCCCTTTCTTTTAACTTTCTTTTCCCAATGGCTGAAACTTTCATTTTTAATAAAATCCAACTTCTAGACATTTAAAAAAGAAATCAAGCTTTAAGAGTAAATTAAATTGAAAGCTTTCACAAAGCTTATTATGTTTTCTTTAAAACATGTCTTATTGGCGCGATGTTGACCTCAGGGATTGGATGACTAATTAATCTATTATCAGTAATGATCTCACTCACTAATGAGCTTCTTGTTTTCTTTAAACTTCCTGTCTCTTTATTCCCACACACAACAAAGTATCTTTCTGAATGAGGGAAATTGTGAGTGGAAAAGAAAAAAGAAGCAGTAAATATTTGAAAGATATAAAACTCTAACTTTATTAATTAAAAATACCATTTTTTGAAATATCATCAAAGCAAGTGAGAGTAAGAAATGGGTTTAAATTTAAAAAAGGGCAGAATCAACCGACAATTTATGAGTGTTTCTCTTTCGAAAAATTTGTATATTAAGTAAAAAAACTATATGATCCTATAAAAAAGGACAAATAAAATTATACCTTTTTGGGAGATTCTTGGAGAATTCTGATTCGGTCTAAATGGATTATTTCGTGCAAACTTGTTCGAACTTCTTTTTTTCATTGTTGCAAGATTGAGTTGTTCGATGGAGACAATATCGAATGAGGTGAATAAACCCTGTGGTGATAAAAGATTCAGTATTATTCTATAAATGATTTAAAGGAGGATTAGACATAATGATGGAAGGTTCAGAGAAGGAATTATTAGGACGGAAAGCTATGACAATTATAAACGGGACTAATGAGCTCCATTCGATATGCAGTCAAGAGGTACCTCATTGGAATATAAGATGATTCCTTTATTATGCGGGTATTATAGTTTTATGAGTTATTCACATCTGTAATAGATTTTTAACATGTTATTTTTAATTTGTGACAAGAAAAACGCTTACATTTAAATTGATTTCGATGGGTTGAGCTAAATTTTCATCCTCATGACCTTGGAAAATATGCTCAAGACGAATGATAATACGTTTTGGAGCTATCATTTCCATGGTTAGAACATTGATAGCTAGTGAAAGTGATCGATTTAGAGCAGAATACTAGAAAGTAAAGAAATTATTTCAAAGATCGATTTATAAAAATTAACTGGAAATAAATCGATTTATTTCTTTCATTCGATATTTGCTAATATCTTTCACAAATCAATAACTAATGACAGATGAAGAAAGATTTTTAGTGCTTGTTATACTTCAAACAACCTCAGTAATAAATGTCCGATCATAATCTGACAGCTCCATTTTGCGCTCCGCAAACGTAATTAATGGCGAATTATAAAGTTCAAAAGCAAGTGGTCTGTGAAGTTTTGCCGAATTTTCGGGACTTTCCATTATGATCCAGTGTCGTCCTCGGACAACCAACCCTTGTCCAGTATCACCTAACTCATCCAGTGCTTCGCCGACACCGAAATTGTCATCATAAAATAATCTACGATGGAGCTGAAAAAATTTTCCATTTACCCCGATGTTTTTGCTGAAAACTCTCTTTTAATCATACGAAATTGAAAATTAAATAGATATAAAATGAAATAAAAATCCATACATATTACCATTAATTCAATTTGTCCATCGTTCAGGCTAGTACCACCATGAGAACGATCCGTAAGTACAGTTAATTGGTTTATCGAATCTCGAATATAAATACGATTATTTACAGGATAATAGTTCCCTGCTATCGGTTCCGTATTGATATACGAGAATGATGGATAACGGTTTTTGCTAAAAGGAACTTCAGATAGAATTCATATTCATAAAGACAGAACAAATCATGAAGTGGTTATGAAGTAAATCGTGTGAGGGAAATAACTGCATATTCAATTTTTCCTTTTGATAAAATTAGAAAAATAAAAGTAAGGAGGAAACTTAGCAAATAATTAACCACTTATTGCAGAAGTATGCTTACGTTCTTTTCATCATTTGCCTTCCGTTTGAATCGGTATAAAATATGCCAGTCGAATTTATATTTGTTGTATATCGTGTAATTATTTCCTTTGTTATCGGATTTCTAAATCAGAAAATAATAAGTGTGCAAATTTGAAATTTGCGAAGAAAATTTAAATTTCAAGTCAAAATCAAGTCATATTCTAACTGAAGGAAAAAGAAGAACATCATAGTCAAAATTTTTATTTTACTATCATCGGAAAGATGTTTATTCGTGTTTCCTTTTTTCAAAGGCAATTGGAAAAATATTCGTACTTAAGTTCTTTTGGTATTGGCCCAATTGTCCATTCAAATTCCACCAAATTCTTGTTACGATACAAGCGAATCACTTGACTGATCCATGGAGCAATGATTTGCCTTATCTCATTTATCAATGAACCCTACAAATAAATTATGTAAAATTTCCTATCGCTTATCTTTATTGGCTGTTATCAGATTTATGTTCTCACAAAGATAACAAGCTGAAATATATCTTACATCTTAATATACTGGAATATACCTCAATATACTGCACAGTTGTAACATTTGATATCTTCTCCGCCTTAGTACCGTTTGGTCGAAAAATATAGGCTCCTGACGATTGATTTATGTAATTTGGGAAACCCATTCCTTTGTAAACAAGGAATTCCTGCTTCAATGCAATGGTTTTTCCAGTTTTCCGGTTCTTCAATGACATCAGCTGTCCAGTGTTATCGAACATAAGTTCAATGTACTAGAAATTCATATTGAAATAATGGGCATAGTTTATAATTACAAATTTGACATTAATATCACATCTTGAGCAGAAAAAATTGGTAAAATCTTATTCTCATACTTGAAAAGATTTATTTACCGTGGAATGTAAGAAATAAATTAGTTTATAATCTGTTCGATCATACCTATTCATACAATCTTCTTGTTATTCTTACAAATGCTAATCAACTTTTAATTAATTGTAACATATAATTAAGCACATTCGAAAGCATTGCCTCATTTTTAATTACTGTTGTATTGGCAGCTTTCTCGTGTTCCTTTTTGGTTGCCTTTTGAACTGGGCGATACTTCGCATACTCAACCAATTTTGTGATCCTAAATTCATATTCCGCAAAAAAATTAAACAGCAAAAAACAGCATTGTAATTTTGGAGAAGTCACCTCATTTCATGCATAAATCATTCTTAACACTAAAATAAAATGATAAAAATGACAAACGTTTGATTAAATATAAAGAACGTTGTGAAGCCAAGTGCAGGTACATTTGCTGGAATAAGTAATTCATACGGTGCACTTAACGGTTTTTTAAGTTGTGCGCCATTGTAGAATACTTTATTGATCTGTAAAATTGATCGAATTATACTTTTTTTATTATTTATATTTTCAAAATTCGAACTCTTCCCTCTTTCAACCATTTCCTAGAAAGCTTTTACATGAAATATTTAACTATTTTCTTTAAATGAACAATCCAGGGTCTAACTAGCATAATAAATTAAACTATATAAAATAGTAAGCTTATTCAGGACGACGTGCGACCGTTTTAAGCATGCATTTGGCCATTCTTGGAATTCAGAAAGTTACATGTATCTTTAGCAACATTCTGTATTTTGGAAAAAAAAACAATTTTGCACTTTGCACATTATATACTAAATTTCGGTAGTTCAATCAATTCTTGAAATGCTTGTTAATTGTAAAAACTTTTTAGAAGCTTCATTGAACTCTGGCTTGAATGCAAGTCGTCTAATTTTCTATTTAAGGACCTATAATAATTTACATTGTATACTAAGATGCATAAAAACAAACTTGGACATTTATTGGTTTTCCATTAAATGACCAAACAGTAGCCGATTGAGAATAGAACGGAATCCGTAATACAGTATTCAGCGGTTGAGAATTTGAATTATAGACAATAATAGTTCCGTTACCGTACAATCGGAAAAATTAAAGAAAAGATCAAGGAGGCAAAAGTAAAATATTCTTCCCGATATTAGGATGAAATTATTAAACAGCAAACATAACCAAAGTTAGCAACGAAATAATTCTAAAACATCTTGGAGCTTTCTTAAGTTTTACATTTCTAAGCATGGTAAATCACTTAATGCTATTTCGAATACTAATCGCACATTTCATTTCTATTAACATTCACTTCGATATCCATTTTTCAACCGGTTTTTTTATTTTGTAAACACAAAAATGGATAAGGTACGAAAGAGAGATGTTAAAAGTAGGGAAAATTAGTTAAGAGGGTGTCAATAGTACTGAAAGAACAAGAAACCTGGTTGAATTGCATATTGTTACATTGATATCACGACAAATGATTTGCTTTTCGGGAATGATTCCATTCAGTTTTGGAATTAATTTCATTAATACATTGTTAATAGCTGCCTGAAAGTGAAAAAAGAAAATTATTGTTAGCCATATTTCCTTTTTGAAAAAATTATGACTTTGAAAATTTTTGTTGGATATCTTTCATAACATTGCAATAATTGTCATTCAGCCTATTAATTCCTAGAACTAATGATAGCTTTCTATTTCAGGCTGAATATTTTTGTTAATCAACGTTTTGAATTATTTGTAATTTTGACAAATAACAAAAAGGATATTGGATAAATAATAAATACTTCAGCTTCGTTCCAACCTCGAGAAAGTCGAAGTTCGTAATCTTTGGTAACGCTTTCTTTTGCTGTACCACTAAAATGAAAATAGTAACATCTTCATAATGCTACATAATTAGCGTTTAAATTTGTTATTAATGTAGAAATAATTTAAGCTAATATTCGAATCGGAAATTTTCATTTTTCTTTTTTTGTCATTTGAAATATTGAAGAGAGTTGTGATTACACATTAAATGAGATACTTTCGATACTTTCCCTTATCGAAACTTCCCTTCCTATCATAAGGTGTAAATAAGATTGGAAAAAAAGAGCAAACGTTTATAAGAAATGAAAGTATTACGTAATAGCGTCATGATGTTGCGTAAGTGCTACGGCATTCCGCAATAAGCTACTATTTGTTATTTCCATAGTAAATGATTGAAGTTGCTTAACGAGCTATAAATAATATAATCTTCCATCTGTCTCTTCTTAAGCAAAAAGTAATCAAATATTCGGTAATTTAAAAAAAATTTTTTTTCCAATTGAAGAGAAATTTTTTATAACTATTGCATTTTGAATTTATGTAAATTTGTTAACCTAAAATTTGAATAAATAAATTCATACCTGTAACAGTGCACTACTTTGTCGAATGAAACCTTTAAATGTGGGCCTACTGGTAAAGAAACCAGTCCAATAGCTATGATTAGCGGATGCATAGGGAAAAAAATCATCCAATTTCCGCGGTAATTTTGGATGTGCTTCTTTTAGTGCCATCAGATAACAGGAAGGTGTCGAATAAAAGATATTAATTTTTTCACTTAAAGTCTAAAAAGATATCATTATTGTTATCAAAATCTTTCATAATTTAAACTTGAATCGTTAAATTCGAACAAAAATTTGTGTATTTATAATTTACTAAATATACTTTATTTTTTCGAATAAGTGAGATGAGTTTATCGAGATTGATATACCACTGATTTGCTGCTGTATATTGAAAATCGCCTCCCATTAGAAGCATTATATGATTGGTTCGTTGATGTGAGGCCTAAAAAATATTAATTTTAATTATTTCAGGAAATTTCTTTCCTATACAAAATGTTAACATATTATTGTCATAATTGTTTAACTAAAACTGAAATAATTAAAATTCATTTTTCTCCCACAAATTATTGCCACCTTTGCTGTTACCTTTCATTTGTTATATTAATCATATGAAAAGAAATTATTATAATTTCAATCCTTTTTTAATTTTTCTTTTGGAGTTTTTTTTAATTCGAAATATATGCAATAGTAAAAAAACCTGTTTTTTAACATATTCAACAAATTTGTTGACACGTTCGATAGCATTGTATTCTTCCAAATAATCCTTATCCATAATAGGTTCATCCAAACATTCACGATCAAAACAGAATCCCGGTGGTGGACCATAGCTATCCCAATAAAATGCACCTACTAAGATGTTTGTTTCTGAAATGTTTTTGAAATTATTTAGGCATGAATTTTAAAATATCATTTTCATGACATTTTACAAATTCTATAATATAATTCTTACTGAGATCATCAGAACTATTCCAAACAAATTCCAGGCTTGAATTTTGTACACGAATTTCTTTTTCTAAGAAATGAAGACGAGAAAAGAAAAGAGATTCGAAATCCATCTGCAAGGAATCGTTAAAAATTAGTTCTTTTTTTTTATTTTAATTTTATTAATGAATTAATCATTTTTATCTTTCTTCTTTTATACTTCTATTTTCATCTTTATTCTTCTATATTTTCATTCATTTATCTTAATGCTGTCGTAGTTACTGTTTCAGTCGTTATTTTAAATATTTAATGAATGAGAATTAAACCGATTTTGTTATTTTCAACAAATTATCTTATATTGTTAATTTAATTCCACTGCAAGAATCTAAATAGTCAAAGAAGATTATTTGTTTTGCAGTGCCATTATTAGTTGAATAGAAAAATTAATTTTCTATAAAGAAAGAAACTAGCCAATGCCAATAAATTAGCCATTTCTCGACTATGACCAAAAGGGTCAATTTGCCATGCGACATTTGGCACTCCACAATCGCCAAAATATCTGTTTAAAGTTCTCAAACCAAGTGTCATTTGATCAATAATATCAACATAATAAGCTACGGCTTCATCATTTTGCACCCAGCCGCCACCAATAAATTCGATTTGCCCTAAAATATTGATAATTTAAGAAACTTCTGATCTGATCTCTTAAACCTTCACTTTCATTATAATACGCTCACCTTATTGAATATGCTTGCTTAACCTTATTGGACATGTTAACTTGCTATACATGTTTATCTTGTTGAACATTTACCGTACCTTTTTGGACAAGTTTTTGCAAGCGCTTCATTTGCTTATAATCAACGAGCCAACGCCATAGAAATGATGTTTCACACCATGCAAAACGCTTGCTTTCATCCTTTTCCAACTCGTCCATTACAGTATTAAGAATATATTGCACACCTGTTGCTGTCTTTACTTTTTGAGCTATAAAATGACTTTTCACTTTTCCAATTTATTTCAAAATTTTAATAATTGAAACAGTTTTTTAAGTTTTTGAAAATAATTTTGAAGTTGATCCAATCAATCAATAACCCACATCCATAGTAGTATTGATCAATAGTTTTAATCCAGCCTGGATCGTTATGTGTATGACAGATTAGATGAACATTCAATATATCCTTTCTTTCACTCCACCTATTGCATTTCTGCAATTCTATCTTATTTTCAAGTTAAGTTTAAATTTTCATTCAAATTCAAGCAATACTTCAACAAGTTGTCGGTAAATTTATTGATGAAATTTATTACAATTTTCAAGAGATAGTAGTGCTCTAAAATCCACAGAGTTAATCATTTATGATCTCTAAGCAATTATGTTAAATTCTAAGTATTAAAATTTCACATACATTCCAACTGCATGAACCATCTTGGATACCACAAACATGAGAATATCTCAACAAATCCATTGGAAAAATCACCATAAAAAACAGCGGTAACAGCGGTATCTCTTTCATGATTCCTGAACAATTACCGGATTATGAAAATAATAGGCAACAGAATTGCTGACTTTCCATGTTTTTACAAAACAAAATGATGTATGTGCCAAGTCAGGCCTTCTTATTCTTCATTTCACATATTGCTTCGTAAAAATTTCACACAAATGTAAAATGAGCTTTAAAATTGAAATAGTTTTGTTTACCATTTTGAAAAAGACCAAGGAGAAATTGCCAGTTAAATAAATAGAGAAAAACAAAAACTTATAATGAGATTTCATTAATAGAGTATTTTGAGTGATATAAATAGAATTCAAGTAAATACAAAAATAAGATCACTTAATCTTATCTCTCTGTGACTATGAATAGAATTCTGTTTGTCTATCAATTATGAAGTTTACAAATTCTTGTTAAATAATATTACCATTTCTGATTTAATCATTGCCGGTATTTTAAGCGCTCTTTGGGAAATAAAAAACCGAACTTCGCGATGATTGTTTACATTTAAAAATGAAATGGTTGCATGCTCAGTATAATTGGGCCATATTGAAGTGATTCATAAATGAAAGTGATAATCGATGAATCCGCACTCAACTTCTATTACATAAACTATCTTCTCAATTGAACTGAATTTCATTTTGCATTTTCAAGTACTAATCGTTTTGAGTGCCTACCTGATATATCGATTGAAGAAGAAAGAAATAAAGAATAGCCACTCAAAAATTTATCTCCCTAATCTCGCTAAAATATTCATTAATTATAAAAGATCATAAAACTCTAGCCTGGATTACTTTACATTGTCGGAAATTTCGATAATTATTATATCATTATCATTATCAATAGAATGATAGCAATGTAACGACAAGAGGTCAATTATACTAAAATGGATCATTGTTCTACGATAGATACATCTGCCATGTTTGAACAGCTGTTAGCAGACTTTGCAAAGTTTGCAGGAAATAATCAATTGCTTCTTTGATCTCATTAATATCTGAAGAGCTCTTTTTTTGTACATTGAGAATAAATGTATAGTGAGGAGCATTTTACAATATATTACAATTGCTATGACTATTCCTTCTCATATCACTGTTGTTATCATTAAAATTTACAACTTAAAGAAAATGGATAACGAAAAATTATCATCTTATCATTTCTTTAATTCTATTCCAATGAGATTTAAACTATTAAAGGATTTAATTTAAAGCTAAAAAAAATTTTGTTAATTTTCTTTGTTGGAATTTTTTTATTCTCTTTTTGTTATCATTGTTGTATAACAGTATAAATGGCTTATCTTAGTAATATCGCATATGTTCGCATGCTTTACATCTTAGCAATAGCAGCATTAACATTATTTCAAATCAACAACTCAGTTGTATGACAAATATTTACGAATGTTATGATGAGGATCTATTTATTTTCTACTTCCGACAGCGAATTCACTTTCCATCTCTCCTTCTTCTTTCTCCTCCTCCTCCTTCTTCCTCTTCTCATTTCTTCTTTTCCTTCTCCTCCCTCTCTTCCTTATCCTTTTTCCTCTTCCGACCAAAGTATTGTTGCCAGACACAAAATTTAAAGCTGCCACCTGTGCATTTTGGAGCTATTTTATGCTGACACATTCTGCTATTGCTACCCAAGAAGTGCATTACCGTATTAGACGCGCTATTAGAAACTACCCCAAATTAGATTTTGATAATTTTAAAATTTCTCGTTGTGAATTATTTAAACGGAATTTTTCGGAAATTTTCCATTTCAAATTTTTGTTTCAATTTTATAAAATTCGCTGGAAAACAATTTGTTGTTGTATAATTCTTCTTATTTTCAATTTTCTTTTTTTTCAATTATTCAAATAATATATTAGTTAGTGTTGTCAATAATAACATGCAAATTATAAGAAAATCTATAACGATAATTAATGTAAATTACAGAAATTAGAAATGAAAGAGTGTCTGATCGTCCATTTCCTATTCAATTTACTTTACTTATTGATTTCATTTGGAAGTTTCTTTAATCAATTAATTAGTAAGTTAAAAACAACAACTTTATGGTAGTATTAATTTTAAGTGTATTGCTATTCTGAAATGTTTATATGAGCAGTTTGTATACACGCGAAAAGATGGGATGAGATGGGATGGGATGGTCTAATTAAACAGAAAGATAAACATCGCCATGCTATTAAAACCATAGAGCTTAATGCATATTTTATATTTCATATATTTTAATTATTGATTTCATTTGGAAGATTCTTTATTTTTGGATTTCATATGTTTGCCTTTCATTTTTGATCAACTGATGTTATATTAAAGAAAATAAAATCTGATCATTGATAGATTAATCTTCGTCTGATCTATTTTCCCTATCAAACTAAGCATACATATCATGTTACTAAACAAATTCATTGAAATTTTCATATAATTGCAAAATTGAACAGCGAAATTAGGAATATATTTTATATCACAACTACTGAAATCCATTATATATTTCAGTATCATAACTACTGAAATTCATTATATATTTCATTATATATTTCTATATTTCTATATTTCTATATATATTATATATTTCTATCGAAATCCATTTTGCAATGATTAATTTTAGGTGTTATTTCATATTTAAAAGTATTCTGTTTTATGTATGTGCGAGTTGTATTTTTTTCTCAAAGTAGCTGTTTTAAAGTGGTGACTCATCAAAATAGAGCGTTACTTTTGAATGATGATTCATTCTTTTTCCTGCATTATCCTTTTAGCAACAACAACATAACGAAACGTAAAATTAATATCACTCACATTTTCACTTCATCATGATGGAACGAACCATCTGGATTAACTTTTTTCAAATGCTGATTGTGAATTATGAGATCAGAGAAATGGGGAAGAGAATGATTGACTAATATCTATCCTCTAAAGGATTATCTAATTGTTGAAGGCTGAACATTGAATACCTTTCAAACTAATGCTATAATAACGGTATTATACTATCATTAGATAAGGCTTCATCTGATTGTCATACGAGGACAGACATTTCACTCTGAATCACTCTTAAACTTTTTTTTACAGATATTATTATTTTATTTTTGCTATACTTATGATACTTTGTTGTAATGCATTTCAAACGATATCTATTGATGGGTTGGGCGTGTTTTAAAATAGCTTTTTGAAATTTAAAATGTTTGAAGAGGTGTGGAAAATTGAAGGAATTTTATTTTGTGGTGCCTTTGTGGAAAGAATTGATGGAATTGTGGTAAACAACAATTTTTCGCTTCATTACAATCGTCATTTAATACTTTTTAAAAAATCACTCATTTATAAAAAATAGGCACTACATGTTATGTATAAAAATATGCAATACATCGTTTTATTTGATTTATTTTTGTCATTCTTACTTTGCCAAAATAGTTAATTAATGATATTTGATAATTGAAATAGTATGCTATGATTAATAAGTTGATATAATGATGATATGAGTGATAGTGATAAATATGAACTTAATAGAGAGACAATATGCTTATTAATAATCTCTTGCTTTGTTTTCAATTTGAATAATACTATCATTCTTTCAGCAAACAAACTTCCTTCTTTCAATTAAAAGTAAAAATTATTTTGAGAATATAATCAATCCTCTATGCTTTCTCTTTCATTAACAAATAAATTATTTTAGAATATTTGGTAATTGCGAATTTATTTTTAAATTTTACAAATGTATTTTTGGAATATTATTATTATTATTATCCATTCATATAGCCAAATCTTCGTGTGTAATGGGAAAGGTATTCATTAATTAACTTCAAAAAAAAAAATAATTAGCAATGAAAGAGTTGGGAAAATGACATATTATAGTAGTACTACATTTCGGAAGGAAATGAATGATTTAGTTGTTGTTATTCTTTGTTTCATTTCTCGAAATAATATTATGTGAAAGTGTTTGGAAGAAAGAAAAGATTAGAGATGTAAACAGGCAATTGCAATTAATCAATAAACCATCCATCTATGGACCCTCACATTCAATGCGTACACATTTCATTATTATTGACAGCTGCCTGACAACTGTTTGGGTATTGTTATTACTTGTTTCAAACATCACATCAAAAAATTTTGTTTATCTTCATTTTCCAATTTTTTCCTATTACTTTTCAGAAATTGTTATTATCAAATCACACACACAACATCTGCAACTTATTTCATTTTCTTTCATTTATTATATCTGAAATTTTAAGCACGGTTCCGTAGTTAAGTTTAACAAAAATCACCGTTTATTTTCTCCTGAAATGTCTTCTTGAATTCAAAAAATATTTCAATACTGTAGGAGAAGTAGGAATGAGAAGGTAAATAAAATAAAGATGAATCTGAATGTTCATGTAACTAATTTATTTCTGCTACTCTAAGATTACTTACCCGTTTATCAATTATATCATCTTTTCAGGTTAAAAAGATTTCGATCCTTTAAATCGATCCTTTAAATTTTCCTACATGACGAATATCATTCCGAATGATTGTATTTAATGTTAAAATGTTAAAGATCTAAACGTCTGCAACGCTTAGTTTTATTTTGCATATTTTTTTTAAGGATTTGGATTTATTAAAGTTTTTTTGGAATTGAAATTTTATTCTATTTAATGGAGCTGTAAAATTTTTCTTCGAAAAGTTTTGTTGAGCTGATTTTTGAACTGAATTTTGAAGATATATATTTGATCAGTTGAAGTCTTACCGCAATATAATGAAATTTTGCTAGGCCTAAAAAATTAAGTCCATTAGATTTAGAAGAAATGGGTATCTTTTTTAAAATTTATAAACCATTCGGAAAGTTCTTATAATTAATGATATCATTATTGCCAGTTGCTTAATTAATTAATTAAAACCAATTAATTAATACTGTTATGCGGTAATTTAATTAATAGCAAAAATGCCATTACTCAATGCTTTCATTTATATAAACGATCAATGAATGTAAGTCTTTCATTGGTAGAATTTTTCCTTTTCTGTTTTTAATTCATTCAATAAAATGATATATCTTTTTTAAAATTTATAAACCAATCGTAAACAAATCGGAAAATTCTTTCATTTTACTCAAATAAAGGAAATGGCAATGAGAGAAGTAAAGGAAGTATTTTAGGCATTCACTGCAAGTAATTTCGATACATAAGCTATTACTATGTTTAATTCATGCAATTTACTTGCTATTGATGATATATATGTATTGGTTGTTCAGATGAAGAATTAATCTATGATGTCTAATTTAGTAAGTGTTAGCAACTTAAATGTAATGCGTTTATGAAAAGTACATATTATTCTCTATAAGCAATCATCCTTCCCGGATCAATTGTGATTATTGTCTCCTCAATAGTTATTATGGCAGTGATACTTTAAGATATCATATCTCAGGCGGAAAGGGATAACATGTGAATGTTAGAGAGTGCGCTCATTTAACTATCCAAAGAGAAAGAGTATGATATTATATTACTTATGAAAGATATGAGTTGCTTCCGTATTCATTCTTACTCATCACTGACATTTGACCTTGTAACTTCGTCCAATCTCATATCTCATTATTGCACTGCGTAGTTTCTTTTGTATTTTTATATGCTGTCATCACAATTCTGGTATATACCATGTGCATTATTAATAACTTTTTCATTATTTATTGTTATCTCGATGAGGTTATAAAAGCTGATCATTTTGGCTGTGAAAGTTAATATTATATTTTAGATTCTCTGCAGGTTTAAAAATGGAACAAATGCTAATTTATTATTATTTCAATATCTAATACGTTTAATTTGTTGACTTTATTCTTTTCTCTTTTTATTAACTTTTACTTTCAATTAATGTGATGTTGTCATATTTTTAAACAATATGGAACGAATTTAATCGTCAATTTTCAAATTTATAAATTCAGTGAAAACTTTCGAGTTATCACTTAAAACATACACAATTGATTGTTAACAAAATTTGCAGATTTTGGATTTCACAAACTAACCTAACATCAACCAATAATTTGCAAGAAATAAAATGGGTGACATCAGCTTGAACACTCGATATTTGAGCAGCAATCGTGGTATTGTCAAAATTATTCAAATTGTTCTCGGTTTCGTTGTCTGTTCTCTCCTTTGCACTTCATGGTATTTTCATATTCAATATTTATTTTAAACTTCATTTATGGATGACCAATAACAGGATTTAAATGATAAATTTAAAAGTAAAAGAAATAAAATAGGTAATGAAATGTTTTTCGTAGAGTTTTTGCATCAATTAATTTTAATGCAGTGGAATATCCGGAAAATAAACAATTCAATTTGCAATGCATTTTTGTCATGAAATTTGGAAGTGCAAATGAAGTGTTGCAGGTATGGCGGTCGTTCATGTTTCGGTGAAGGTCGAATTGGATTTTGTTCCGGATTGAACTTTGTCGTATTGGTCTTGAATATCATCTTTTTTGTGATCAACCTCCTCAACATTAATGCTTGGAAGATGGTTCACATTCATCATTGAAAATTTTTTTCCTTTTAACTTTCTCACTATTTCATCGATGTATAATAGCTAAGAAAAAGAATTAAAATGTAAAATATCATTCCTGCAAGTGTAATGAAAATATTATTAGAACTATTTTAAGGAACGAATATATTCGGTGATATGCGTTGCTCTTTTTTTGGTTGCATCAGTCCTTATCATTTGGTTTATCATCGAAATGAACACCAGCCGAACTACCCTCATCATTACTACTGTTCGTGATGTTTTTCTTTTTGCTTTTATTTTCCAATTTCGAAACTATCATCCTTTCGCAGTTATCTTTTTATTCATCGAAGATAAAGTTTCTTTTCTAAGATGAAGGAAGAAAAATTTTCGAAATGAAATCACTAATAACTAAACTATCAAAATTATCATTCCTGCAATTTTTTCTTTATGGTATTTTGTTCAACAAAAAATTAATAATTACAAGAATTTAATAACTGTAGGCACAATTTATGATAATTAACTTTATATATTGAAACAATGAAATTTCAGATCAGTTTTTGGAATTCTAACCTTATTTAGCCTTTTTTATTAGCAAATTTATTATTGCATAGAACCGAAGATTAATTTTAATATAATCTTATTTCAGATCTGTCTCATTGTCATATTTCTTCTGTTCCTGCAAGATGTGAAGATTCTTCAGGGCGAAGCTTCCAATTAAAACAACGACACTTTTGTCTCGTAATCCGTTCTATCCTCTTGCTACTTCAGGATTCTTTGATTTAGCTTAATTTACATTCGAGTTTTATTTAATTATTTGAAAGGAATAATTTGCAAAATTTTGTTTTAGCCTTAACATTAGTATCAATCGAAATTTCCATGTTTTTAAATTCTCTTCATATCTTCGAAATGAATTAACTAACTTTGATGTAAACTCTTAAATTCATTCTTTTTCATTCTCAGCTAATTTTTGCTCTCATTTTTATATTCTATTGACAATTTTGTGGATTCTTCCTTTTAAATTTCCTTTAGCTAAAATGAAAAGTTTGGCTATTCAAAAAGATATGTGACTTTTTTCCAACTATATGTGATGTATGATTAATTTTGTTTTTATAGTAAGCATTTATAGCAGTCATTAAAATTTCAAAAAAATATTTTTTCTCTTTAATATGTTTCCTTTTTCCTCCTCCTTCTTTATATTTCCCTATTGCTTATCAATGTTTTCTTCTATCACTTTGTTTTAATGCATTTATTCAGTCGTTTTAAATGATATAAATAAAATGTTTTAATTACTCATACTTGTCATGTGCACACTCTAAGCATTTGGAAAGGCCAGTTTTATGGAAGGTAAAGGTAACTAACTATCTTATCAAGATAATTAATCTTTCTTTCAGCCAAACAATAAAAGATATCATTCATAAAGTTTTAAATTTTTGAAGTCAATCACTCACTTCATTGCTATCAACTTTCATCAATATAAACTATTTCGCTTATCAGCTTATGTATCACTGGTAAATCTGAGAAAAGATATTAAGCATGTTCATTTCAAGATCAAATATTTTTGAATAATTGATAGCTAGTTTATATCTTTGTGCAACAATTCCCTAACGAAATTTGGTTATCGAATTATCAGTGATCAATCACATGAACACATTTCTAAAACATATTTAATAAACGTATAACAGTTAAAATTCACTGAACCAACAACCAGTCAATATCGCATATGAATATATTATATCATTCAACTTATCAATTGCTCCATATATATCAAACTAGGCGATAATTATTCGTTTCTTATATCAAATTTGAAGAGTCTTGCATAAATAAGTTTTCATTTATTTGGTTCAAAATTTTATGAGAAACTTTGCAGTCACTTCGACTACTTCCATCATCGTGGTAAAGTTGAATTGATGTGAATACGAAAAATATGCAAATCGATTGTGTATTTTTCTTAAACCTCGTGATGATTAATGCATCAAAGAAGCCATCTGTTATTAGCAATAATTGATTCATCATCGTACTTTGCAACACAACTAAACTTGACATGTGCTTTTGTTCCGAGTATACTGTGTTATCGATCGCCTGAATAGCAACTTTTGAAATGAAATTTCCAGAACGAAGATTTTTATTTGCTTCCATTTCATCGTCTCCAACATTAGTTTGGTTGAATGAGTACAACAGTTTTTATCGATTCAATAATATCACCATCCTATTGAAAGGCTTTCATTGGAAAGGTTATAATTTACAAGGAACAGCTGACTGCACCAATGCAAAACATCTCAGCTCTCATTCATTAAACAAACAATCTCTTTCTTGGTTACTTAGAAAATAACGGGCTTTTTTTAAATTCTACGAGCCTAATCTTTTATAGCCGGAACTTTGCATATGGTTGGCTAGAAATGTAATGGCCAATGTAATGGATGTATAATGGCCTGCTTAATGGCTATATAATGGCCTATAAACGGCCTATATAATGCACTACTGTGTTATGTTTACTTATGAATAAAATCTTTGAAATAATTGAGAGCAAATTTCATATGTGTTGTCGCTTTTCTAAGAATATCTATAAATTCATTTTATGAATGATAATTAATAATTTGCAGGATGTTAAAAAATTATCTGAAACCATGTGTGGTTCTTTTGTAAAATCTTATGGTTGGGCTTTTCTACCAGATTTATTGTTGGAAGAAATTTTCTCGCAATTGCCTATTAAAAATTTGGGGCGTTGTTCTCAGGTCTTTTTATTTAATCCCAATAAATATTTGAAAAATTTTAGCTGTCATTAAAAAAAAGTAATTTACACTGAATTATTCGTCTTCTATAAGTTGCAAAAGTTTTGAAAAAATTTTTTTAAATCCAAATGAATTTCTAAAATTAAAAAGAGATATTATCGATTTTGCTTTTTTTAAAGCACTGCTACCGTAAGAAATGAGTTTTCCGCAGCGATGCATTATTTCTTTAAAATAAATTTAATTTTCAGGTATGTTTGAATTGGTATCGTATAAGCCAACAAGATTATGCTTGGCGGCGATTCCAGTATAAAGATAAAATATTCACAAGGCGCAAGTATACATCACATGCGGGTTGGCAATATATGATTGACCATTGGAAGTTGAGGTTAACTGTTATCTTAAAAATTGGCTTAAATCGTTGAAACTTAGACTAAATATATTGAGCGATCAATATATTTTTCTTGCTGTTAAACCAAGTTAAGAAACTTAAAAAGAAAACTATCTGAACTATCTAAACTGTTATCCGCCAAAGTATAAACTGCTAGTTTATTTTTAACAGTAAACTGAAAACGATTATCGATGACCATGTTTTTCAATTGTTTTTTAATTAAAGATTTCTAATAGTGAAAGCGACAGCGAAATGGAGGGTTCTGGAAATTGAACCGGTAACGATTCTTTTTAATTTATACGAATTCATTCGAGTTTTAACCAATTTTTCGGAATACTATGAAAGAAACTCATCTGAAAAGCCACTCCAAGGAATTCGATCATTTTCATTTAAATGGCAACTTCACGTACACGTAAGAGGTGAAGGTGAAACTGAACGGGTGAATATCTCAGTTAAATTATTCACATTTACATATTTTAATATCAGTAATAGATTAAAAAGGAGAAATCTCTTTCCTCTCAAAATTACTATCACATAAAAAAACTTTACTTTTATTTTTTCGCTTATGATTAATAAAAAATGGTATTACATATCAAATATTCATATTACTTATAATGAAAGTTATACTTAATTTTATCTATATGTGTGGAAATTTCCTAGTGGAAAATTTAAAATTTGTAGGTATTCGGAACAGGTGGTGAAATGTTGAAAACTTTATCGTCGCTATTATCACATTTGCATGGACTTACTGAATTATCACTTCAGGAACTTCAATTAGAACCATACGAATGCAATGATTTCATTGATGATGTACGGCAAATTATTATTGGATTTTTCAATCATTGTTGAAAGAGATAAAAAATTGATAAATTAGGTTGAAGTAGTGAAGAAACTTCCTGATTTCTTTTATAATATAAGTAAGATCAAATCTAAAATTGTAATGAATTTACATTAAGCTCAAAAAATTTCAGAATACTTTCAAAAAGACTTAAAATGTTTTAAAATCGAAATATTTGCAGATTTTATATAAATTTGATTCCCAACTCACATCATTATGCATTATAAATTTAACGAAAGTGTACAGGCCATTTCTGCAACTCGGATTATTTCTATTTTTGGAACATTTAACAGTTTCACCACAACATCTTGATGAATCGATAGTGACACTTCTGGCTGATTTAAGACATCTCAAATCACTGATAATTTTACAGGTGATATTATAGCATGTAGCATCATTGTCAGATAGAGATGAAATTATATTGATTGATATCATCTACAGAACTTTTCTAGAACGATAAAACATTTGGAGCGAAAGCTGTGGATTCGAAAGCATGGCTATCTTTTGCAGAACGTAACAATCACACAAGAGTTCATTTAATTCAGGCAGGTACATTTTTTGTTTTCAGCAATGACAATTAGTTGAAATTACTTAAGTAAGATCAGTCAGAATTATGTAAGATCAGTGCGAAATACATAAGTGAGATAATGTAATTATGGTAAATCATTTGAAAAGTAATCCACATTTATTTTACATGTTTTTATTTCAGGAAAGCGACAAAGTGAATTACTAATCCAGCCGAAGGCACCAGTTTATGCTATCATATTTGATAAATCTACTGGACAACTTACTAGTAAATTAACACAGGAGGTTATATCAAAAATCTTATTACTACAAATGTATTATTGTAAGAATTGCCTTTGCAGGAGTCCTTTGCAGACAACGTCAATGATAATAATATTTTCACAGATAATATATCATCAAAAAAAGTTATTAACTTTTTCAATTTCTCACTTGAATAGTCTGAGAAGCTTGAAAAGAATTAGAAAGAAATTTTTAATTATAGCATAATTTCAGTGGATATCTCAGCTAATTAATTTTCCTTTCAGGAATAATCAATTTGTTAAAGATTTGTCATTTTTTGATTACTCTACTTTTATATTAGATTGCTGAATTATTCAGATTTGTCACAACTATTCTACAACGTTACAATTTTTTCTCCAAAAAGGTCTTGAACGTCGATATCGTTCCCGAAAGTTCACGAACCGAGCTGATATTTTCGCTATTGAGCTTGCTCATCGATGCCGTTCGTTTTTGAATATACATTTTAATGGTCACGAAAAAGTATATGTTAATTATCACTTCATCAGCGGTATATTAAATATTTACTTACAGCTAATCTAAAACTATTAGCAATACGTGAAAGAATGTGTTTTGCGAGTGCATTGTTACTTGCTCAAATCGCTCAATCACATCAGACGACAATTTGTTTGAGGCGCAATGCATTGCTAAAAAGGGTTCGCTTATTCATTTCAACTTTTTTTTTTGAGATCGTAGGGTCAACAATAGTTCCTTCAAAATTACTTCTCTCAAAGGTCATTTTTACATCTATGCTAAGTACGATTTATCTATTTTGAAAAAAACAAAAGTGAAAATTAAAGCTTTAAAAATATTTGAAATTTAAAAAAAAAATATCATTAGTCTTTAGTTATTTAATTTTATTTTCGTCTAATTATTGTTACTACTATTATTTATCATTTATCTACCAATATGATCAATGGCATTGCTATAATCCAATATTTATTCACAGGTAAATTGGTCTGATGGTGCCGTAAAAAATATTTTCGGTGCAGAGAGCAATCAGAAATGGATCAAAAGTCATTGCAGAAATTTCGAAATACTGGAAAGAACAATTCAAAATATAATGGATAGCACAGCCCCAATCATTACAGACAACAGATACTTGTATAGTTTTTAAGGTTTTGCTATTTCTTAGTTGCATAAGATTTATTCAAAGCTTCAGTTTTAAAATATCATGCCATCTGCAATGGTTTCTCTTTTTCATTCGTTATGAATATAATTTCAGTTTTCCAAATGTGAACAATAAACCTGTTAAATGCAAATAATGCTGCACAATTCGAATGATATTACTATTCTACATTCTGTACGATGTAACATATTCGAGAGTGTGACCTCTGGTATCAATAAAGTTAAAGACAAAAAAAGAAGAAAGGGAATATATTGAGTATCTTTTGTCACATCTATCATCGAAAAAGTTCAAATGAAATGAACAGAACACTCTTAGGTGCACATTTTATGCCTAATTTGCATATGTGATACCATAGAGCACATATAAATGATAAGAGCGCTTCAATTTGATCATTTCTTTATATTTTTTGCTAGAGCTCTAATGAGTGATACTCTTGATGTGAACGATTTTCCAATTGCATTTCTAATAGGCACTATAATAATAGTTTTACCTGTCCTAATCCTTTGTCAATTTAAAAAAATGGAAAAAAAGAAGGAAACTGTGCTTTCTGTATCACATTTTCCGGCAGCGGAAAATAGTGATTCAGTAAGAAAAGTGAGCAAATTCAGGATTTTCCACATTTCTGATTAGCCCCATTTCTGATTTTTAAATTATCGCTAATAATAATATGGCAAAATGTGAATAACTGATCAATGAAATGGCTGGCATTTATGCAATCTACTCTTCATTGAGAAAATATCTCAAATATTGAAATTTGAATAACCTGAAAAACTTTCCAGCAGACTGCTAATGACACAACACATTCAATGGAAAAGAAGGAGATGGGAGAAAAAAATAAGGTTCACACTTATCTGACCCTTCAATTCATTCAAAATTAAAATTCTTTAACAATTTTCGAGGAAAAGATCAAATCCAAAGAGTCTTTGTTGACTGCATAACATCAGGTAAATTTGAAACATAAAATATAAGTTAAGAAATAATATTTTTTCAACGATTTGAAAGATTAGCTCCATTTTTAGGCGATGAATCAAATCAGTGAATCGCCTGTTATCAGAAAACTGAAATGTGTCAAAGCAATGCACAAAACCGGAACATCATTGCGGATGAAGATGAATGAAGGCATTGAAAATGTACCCGAAAGTTTAAAAACGCAGAAATCGAAAGATCAAGGGTAAGCGCATTTGTTGCACAACAATCGGTGCTTCTTCGTTAGCAGAACTTGAAGAAAGATTATTGATTTTTTCTTTACAACGCCTGCTATAACCTTGAAAAACCTTAGAAATCGAAGAATATCTAATAATTTCTTTTGAAAATAAATTTCACTGTATTAAATCATTAAACTTTCAAATGCTTAGTTAGATTGTATGTCATCCTTCACTTATTCATTAATCATAGAATATTATTTAAGAGGAAAAAATTATCAAATTATTGGTGATTTGGATACGACCGATTCATCAGTTGAATATTCATTAGACAATACGCTCGCTTTGGAATCATTCGAAATGATTAGTATGTCCATTTATTAAGAATTATTGATTACAATATCATCATTACAATACGAGCAAATGAGCAGCGAAGCTTTGGACTTATTGCTAGTACCAACTGTAAAAGATAGTATGAACTAAAATGTTAGTATAAGAATATAAGTCCAATTTATAAATGAAATAATTTTAACCAGATTCACATTTTATTGAATTTTAGAAGGAAAATATGGCCTGAAACTGGAGGGTGAAGAGATCGATCATCAAATAATGAAAGTCCCACAACAAAGTATGCATAATTTTGTTTCAACAAATTGAATTATTCGATTTGATGATATTTGAATATAATGATTTTTTATTTTTGTTATAGCACTCTTCCACTATCAACAGAAGAATATTTTGTAAACATTTAGCAATAATTTGAACTGATCGAAAATATACAGATTTTTAAATTATATCACATTTGTTTTAAAATAATCACATGCTCTACTGATATGCTATGAACGAGTGAGAGAGAAAAAATCAGAAAACCAATTGAGCTCATCTCTTTTGAGGTGATTCATCAGAGTATTCATTATTTGATCCGCAATCATCAAGGCGAGATATTCGTGAACAACGATTTCGATTATTCAGATTAAATTCATCGGTAGCTCGACGAGTAGCTGCAGCGCTGGAAGATAGTGCACTTTCTACATCCAATCAGGACAAGAAAGAAAAGTCGAAGACCAAAGCGGTTAATTTTAATTTTCTATATCTTAAAATTTTCGACATTCCTCTTATGTAAGATTTTAGAGTGAGTTATTTCAAAGCAAAAAAAGATAGAGTTCAAGAACTTGCAATTCAAAATATGCAAATTATTCATCTCGATATTCATAGTAAAATAAATGATGAAAAAATCATTCGGCGGACAAAGGTACACATGAACGCATGTCTTAAAAAAATTGTCGATACATGGATGTAAATAGCTACCTATTTGCAGGATAAACAACAGATTCTTGAAGAAGAAACTCAGAATAACTTAATAGCGCATATCTAACTTTGAATTTTTGTTTATTACGTTAATTTGTGAGGATTTCTATGATATCTCTAATAAAGCAAATTTAATCGATTCTATGAACAAATGCTATAAATTGCAGATGTGATTTAAAATCTCAAAAATTAATACTGATTTTTTTTAATAATTAATATTACGGCATAAAAGTCCTACCAATTGTGTTTTTAGCATATATTATTGATTTTTTATAACTTTTTATATTATTTACTTAATTCTAGAATTTTCCTGCTTTTCACACTCATTGCGATAGAAGAAAAAAAGAAGTATGTGAAATATTAACTCGACAGCTTTCCAGATTCCCTTATTTGGAAATTAGGAACTAATTATTAATATAGTACTGGAATGAAATTCTCATTTGAAAGGTAACAGAGCGTATAATAAGCAAATTAGAAAAGAAATCAAGTTTGCAACAATAAGAAAATTTATTCCAACCCGTTAAACTTCCCAGCAAATTTGAAAATTCCTTTCCACTATGTAACAATTTATGGAGTACATGAAAAGAAACACCACAAACATTCATTCTCTTTTCAATGATAAACACTTCAAGTTTTGATGAGATCGATCTCGATCACTAATGATCAGTTCGCGCAGGTCACTAATGTGCCAATCGATGGCCAACTCTGGATCGAATGGATTCACACCAAATTCCACTTGCGAATTGTATATCGCTGTGCATTTATAAGTTACATGAGCTCCTTTTTCCGATAAAACCTGAGATTTAAGCGCTAGATGATATTACTGCCGAAGTACAGTCTACAAAAGATATAGGTATAACAAAAATACAAGTATCAGTATCGGGAATATGCGGAGGAGAGAACATAAAGCATAACTTTTATGTGGAGTAGATCGTAAAGGATAAATTAGTTGCGACCAATTCTGCTTTTCAAATGGCCAATACAGCAGCACCGGGAATATGTGGAGGATAGATCGTAAAGCATAACTTTTAAAAATTGCAAGAATTGTTATTAGTACATTGATACGGCAGTATTACTGCCGAAGTACAGTCTACAAAACTCGAAATATAGAAGCTAAGCAAAAAAATTTTACATAAAATCCGTGCAAAAATCCATCTGGTATCCAGAAACCTGTCCGTGTTTCTTCATTTAGAACAACACCGTACCACTTTCCAAAAGTTTTCGATGTTGGTCTTATATCAACAGCAACATCGTATATTTCACCACTTACAACAGATACCAGTTTACCCATTCCAGGTTGTGCATGTAGGCCGCGTAAAACGCCAGATTTTGAGTAGGAATGGTTATCCTTAAATGCAAGGAATTAAAGAAAGTGATAGCTGACAGGTAAAGATGTGAAAGAAAACCGGGCTCTAAATATTACATATCTCTTCAAGTTATTACGAAATATTTTGAAAATTTTCAAGACGAGATGAAATCACCTGCTTGAATTTCTCGAAGAATCCTAATGTACCTAATTCATATTCGTTGTAGTATTCCACGAAATAACCGCGTGTATCGGGAAAGAGTTTCGGTCGAATAAGTTTCAAACCATCAATTTGTTCGATATCTTCAATCTCTAATTTTGTTCGTCTGAGCATTTCACTGAAGCTCATTGATTGAGAAATGAATATTGAAATGATCACTTAAATCTACTTAGATTTATCAAAATAGTATACACAAACAGAAATATATATGCCAAATTTATCGTCAGGGATGCATTCTTGTAGCGATTGAAAAAGATTTTCCCATATCGATTGGATCAGTCCGTCCTAATTGCTCCATTTCATATGGGAACAAATTTGACCCTATTTCCAATTTTATACGCTATTTTGTGTAGCTCGTCATAATTCGAAAATTATTTCCATCACAGCTCGAACAAGAAAAACTCTTCCAGAACTGTATCAAATTTAAATTGGATTTCCTACGATCGTTAGAACTGTTCCAGCAGCTCTTCAGGAGATGATGGCATTATATGCGTCAAAGACGAGTACAACTAAATGAGTTTTCGATGAGAAATGATAACAAATAACATAAAAGCATGATAATAATTTCAACAAAGATCCATAAATTGAAGGATCTCATTAGTTATTGGAATAGTCATGATAACAAAATACAAATGAAAGCCCCGTGATTCCCATTCCCTTACAAATATAATAGTGGTGATGCTGCAACGCTGTAAAGCAAAGTAATTTTGATTTAATAATAAATTAGTTTTAGTATTGAATTTATCATTATATTTTGTCAAATACTTTGAGTACACCTTTCAGTATTTATACACAGTACATGGTTTGCAATGAATTCCCTATAGCTAATTTGACTGCAACATTAAGATGAGAATTTCTCAATTTGAGAAGTTTCGTATTAAGAACAGCAAATTTGGACCGATATTAGTTTACTCCATTGCACTTTATTCCTTGAATCATCTACACAAAACCAACCGCGACTCAAATATTTATAGAGGTTGTAAGCATATTTGAAAAACAAACAGCGTAATTAATTAATGGAATCACTCAATACCAAGCATACATCAGATTATAGAACGCTAATAGTGATCCATACTTAACGATCCCTTTCTAAAACTCTAATTTTTGACACACTAAAAATATTTTTTAAATTGCTTGTGGAAAAAACACCATATGACTCACCAAACACAAAGAAAAACACAGTTCAAAAACCCGTAAAGGTAATATAATATAATACTATACATTCATCATTCTACTGTTTTTAAAAAAAACAATGAAATGTTACCAAAACGGAGCATCCCTAAAACTCAAAATTGGAACTTTCATCTCCTCTTTATCCAAACTCTATGTGGGGCCTTTCTCCACCACCTAATTTAAATATTTTATTGAAATCATAGATGTCAACATGAAACTAATGAGCCTCCTTCAAATCTAAATGAACCAAGAACCTTCAAAAAATCACGAAACTGTTAAAATCTTAAAACTTTACATCCAAATAACGCTGTTTTAATTAAAATACAGAAGAATCAAAAGAACAATTTAAAAACAAATGTTAGGATTTTCCGCCTGCTGCCTGCATGCGCTTGTTAGACGGACTCTGGCTAATACGGTTAATTGACTGCGAGTTGGTCAGAAAGTTAGTCAATGCGTCATGATTTTACAACAGAACATCACCTCCTATCTTATCATTTTTTACATAAACAAATGAAGATCAAAGCATTATAAAGTATTTAAATAGCAAAAAATATAGAATTAAATACACTAACGAGTGATGGGAATCTTCAGAAGTTGAAATATGATCAGATAACTTCTTATTAAATGAATATCTTTCACCCACTAAAAACTTCAAAAAAACGAGCGGATGAGAACTCGATTAAATCGAATCAAGTTTCATACAAAGTGTTGAATGAAACAAGAATACTTCGTGAATAGATCTCCGTCAACAAATGAAAATTAATCTAACTTCGAATGTTGTCTATGTTCACTGGATTGGAGAGGTAGAATCAATACATTCGTTAACAAAATGAAAACCACATAAACTTCACAAATAACTTTAATATTTTGCTGATGAAGTACGATATTGATATAAAATTTAAAGACAACTCATAAATGAGAGCTAATTTTTGTGCAGAAAATAAGAGCTGAATCAAATCTTTATGGAGAATCTAGAAGATCTGTTAGAAAAGCTAAAAGTGAGAATCTTTACCAACATAAATTCTCACACGTTCACTTTCACCTTTTTTGAACGGCACTACGGAGTGAATCTGATTCGAAAATTCTCATGCGAATAGATAATTTTCCATTATTTCGCCAATTATACAATTAAATCTTTCTTCAAACAAGTTTGCTTGGGCGAAGTACGTCTTTCTAATAACTTCTTGTCATCTTCACGTTTTTTATATTCTATAATGCAAGCAGGTATACCCTTCACAGTAACTATATGCTTTTTTGCTGAAGATCTGATGATAGATGAATCACGCAGTGATATTACCTGAAAAAAGATGACTTCCATAAGTAAAAAATAACACAAAAAACATACCCGTGCATAGCATCGATTTAGAATCAAACTGATTATATTCAACAACATTTAAGCGACTCTAAAGCCCATAACCTTTTGCCCATTGAAAATCATTCTTCAATGCCAAAATAAGTGAAACTTCCTGAAATTTTCAACAAGCATCTATTAAAAATTTCAAAATTGAAATTACACATACCCGTTTGCTGTTCGTTCTAGAAATGACTGTAGACTTTGTGACACCAGAACCGGATGAAGTGCTTTCTGGAGAATGCCGAGAAGTGCTTGGTGAGTCAGCAGTTGGCCGTCCAACTCTTCTTCTGTAATTTAGTAATAAACATAGGTCGCAGAATTTATAAGCAACTTTTTCCTCAAAGCTATAAAGCTTCGTTTCTACTAGGATTGCTCATGGCATCTAAGACAACAAATCTGCGGTTCTCAGTAACGAATAATTTATGTTCTTCTCTAGAAGCTGAAATGTATTCCAATTAAACAAAGCAGTAAATGAACTTCGGCTTCTCAGCAAGACTCTGTTGAACAACAAAATTTTGCACAACTGTATGATGCTGCACAACATTTTGATTCAAACGTGGCTTCCTTGTCGAAGTTCCCTTTCTGAAATGATAAAATTTTTGGTCAAAACTTCATCCTCAGAAAATACTGTAGACTTCAAATCAATGAATCATAACAGTATGCCCTAACACAGCTCACTGTTTTGGGTTGAAGTGAGATATAGAACAGAGAGATAGGAGTTGAAATGAGTTCTTTACAGTGTTATGCAGTGAATCTTCCAATGTGTCTCTTATTAGAAACAGAAAAAGTGGTAGGAAAATATTCAAAATGTACTTCACCTAATCCATAATTTAATTCAAATAAATCATTAACCTTGTATCGCACATTTCACATTTGAACGCCTCATGTCGATTTCGGAATGTACATACAGTGCACTCCCAACTTCCTGGCTCGAACCCTTCATCTTCCGTTTTCGGGCGATTTCGTTTCTTCGCAGACATATATTGTTAATTCTTTGCCATATGTCTCATCACTTCAACCAAAAAAATTAAAAATTGAAACAAAAAGTCGAAATAATCACTGCAAATATTTACCACATTTGCAGATCGTCAAGGATGATCGGTCATTTGTGCATAAACGGACATGTTTTGATAATGCTAACCCTCCACTTTGTTCAATTCAACTGGTGGAATTGCTGACATTCCGGAAAAGTCAGTGTTCTCTACAAAAGAAAAATGTGCGTTTGGGTGATAACATTTTATGAAGTGACTCAGACCGATTTGAACAATGGAAAGTCTCGCGTCTCGTATATAAACATCATTTAATAACAGTAGATATAAACAACCAAGCTTAAGGCTACACCTCCATGTCTCATCAGTAAAAGATATATTTGTCTTCTTTCCTTCACAACTTTTTAACTACTGTTATTAAATGATGAACCACAATTAGTCACTCTTCCTTCTTCCTTGCTCATCATAGCCTTATTATCCACCAATTTTTCGCATTCAATAACTTCACTCTCCACATCTGAATATTCAGAAGAATAGTTCAACTATCGCAATTTCCCCCATTCAATCTCTTCTCACAAATTCCCACATATACCAAACCTTTCCATCCGGTTAATCCACTTACACAGAAAAAAGGGAACAAGATGGCAGAATTGCTGGTTGATATTTAACGAACCAATCCATTTTCGACGTCCACTTTATGCAAAACAATCATTTCACTTTCATTTTTTCCCATAGTAATGTCGGAATTTCAAAGAATTTGATGTTAAATGCCGATGTACACCTATTCCAGTAGAGTGAACACAAATGACATCTGAAATCTTAGCTTGGTTAAATTGATATTTTGATTGAGTGATAGATATAGCAAACATATTTCAGTGATTAGTCGTTTTCTTAAATTGTACCATTCATTTCTAATCAAAGGTACTGTCTTCGATATATATATATATATATATAAAGATCATCCAGTGGTAAACATCTTCGATTATATAAAAAAATTAAGCGACAACAATCATGGTTGGCTCCCTTTCCTATTCTTATTTACTGTTCCGCGAGTGGAGGAAATGAAATTGTATGTATTGGTTCGTTTTTAGGCCTCTGGAAAACCGGTTTCAAAACAAACATAAAAATAGCTTTTTTGGAAAAGCAACTACAATGAATAACACAGAGAGCATCAGGTTTTAATTATTCTTTTTCCCGCTTTGTTCTTTGTTCTCTGAAAAAATTGAAATGACTCCTTATACTTGCGAGTGCAAGGATGAGCAATTTCTCTATTACAGACGATAAATTGTTACTGCTCTTGCCTTTCGGGAATAAGAAGTAATTGTTGATCAAATCAATTATATCCCATTCTTGACCTTACATCCTTTTATTGCAATTTCCACTGATCACTTCAAGTTCTCACAAGCTGATAAAAATCTTAATCTTAATGTATGATTAACGTTTAGACTGCACTTGTTTTCCATTCAATTCATTGATTGTCGTTAAGTTTCTGTGAATACAATCCTTCCTGTCATTCAGATGGATTAGACTGTCAAATGATTATTCAGCTCAATGAATATTTAATTGTATTAAAATAAATAAATGTTCTTTTTTTAATTTTCATCGTTTACTCATTGATAAAATGTTTGTCTTATTTATGATCGCATGAAAATTATCGTTGATCATCAATTTTAGCTTTCTAAACTTTCAACTTTATCTATCATTCATACAACGAGGACACAAGCAAACAGAAAAGATAAACAAAGATGTGTTTATGATGGAGCGCAAATAGAAAATGATTCAAAAATTTCTTTCTAAATACTTTCATTCGATGTTTTCACATTACCAATTGTAATGACACATGCAATATATGCGGTAGAAATGTTAGGAGACGTTAGGAATAACTTTAAAGCTAAAAAATTCCTTTGAGGAAACTCAGAAAATAGACGAGTAGGAGTTGGTTTTATTTTATTTGAGGCAAATATAAACTGCTTGGGATGATGAACCAGTAATTATTCTCATTTTTCACTTCGTTATACAAGTTAGACTTATATATGTATAAAATGGAAATCCATTCGAAATTTTGCCTTTCTCCTCTTTCCTCCGCCTCCTTCACCGGTACCCGATATGTTTTAGTGGTGAATGAATGGCAGGGACACGTATACATAACAGCCACTCAAAACTGTATACCTGTTTGTTAGCAAATATAAGCATTTGGAATATAAATGTTTACAAAGATATGCAATCATGCACAAACAAACAGATAGGCAAACTCCCAAATTTGTTTTTGAAAGATTTCGATCCCAACGTTTGCCCTTTTAACGGTTGAATTTTTATTTAACATAAAGGTGTCTTACGACGAGCAAAGTTTTTTTAAATTGGATAAATGTGGTTGAAATCAATAAGTTTAGCTGCAAAGTGTACATTTCTATTTTTGGAATAATGATATTGGTATTTCATGTGCACTATTTGAGTCGATAATTTTATTGAAGTGCGAATATATATGGTACGAAGTTCGTTTCTGTAAAATATTGAATCTAACTCTCTTCCCGAGCAGAAATCAAAATTTGTGGCGGATTATGCAAATATCGAGGCTTTTTATGATTTTTCGCTCAATAACATCATTTTTCCTAGTCGTAAGATTAAATTGAAATGAATTTTCTCATTTATTTTGTATTCGTAATTCAGAATTGATAACATTTATGCGATGGCAGAAATTTGACACGTTTTTCGTTTAAAAGCATTATCTGAATATGTGAAATTAGAAAACACATGATAATTCGAAGAATTTCAAATATCTGATTCTATTCCAGCTGTATGATTTAGTATTATTAAGTTATAGAGTTATGATGAAGCTATGATTGATTATTTGATTTTAACTTTTGAAGTGCACTGCTGAAGTGATGTTGAAGTAAACTGCTTTGATAAATATTACATTACTTTTAGCACTATGGAAGAGGGAAGGAGGGAAAACCCTGAACAGATGGAAGAGGTATAGACGACATATAGCATTAATAATTCTATTTTATTTTTGGGGATGTATTGGGACAATGAGAAAGGGGAAATGGTTCTGGAAATGTACGAGTAAATTGGAAACCAGTTTTCTATGATTTAGAAAACGAAACGAAATCGAGTTAAAGCGATGACTAACCGCAGTTATAAGTTCTAAGCCTGAAGAGGTGAATAGTTTGTGTTAGGCAGAGAAGATACCTGAAGAAAAATGGTGTCAATAAAGGGGGGAAGAACTTCTAAATTTCCTGAGATCAATCCAGTAAAACCGCAACAGTAGTGCAGTTGCAGTGCAGTGAAGCGAGATGAAACAGATGAAGTAGTAGTGCGGTAAATTGACATGATTGTGTAGTATGATGATGATGATGATGATGATGATGGTGATAGTAGTAGTAGCAGCGGTTGTTGTTGTACAGCAGCTGGTATGACCAGTTTTTGAGACACATGTAGACATACAGATAAATTTAGACATAGAGACCGATAAATTTTGTATGTGAGAATCTATCCTCAACCTCAAAATTTTCAATTCCTTTTCACCTGCTTCCCCTTGTCGCAAACTACCGCACTATCACATCCTTCTAGTGTCGCTATTGTTAGTAGAGCAAAGTGGCGTTGTTGTTACATAGCAGTAAAGCGGTTTTATTCAGACTTCACAAAGGGTCCTAAGTTGATTCAGCCAAAACGAAATCATAAAAATTTCCCACAATTTCAATCAACTGTTAGGAGAAAAGATTGTCTATTTTTGAAACAATATCTATTCATCACGAAATGTCGCCGAAAATTTTCTTCTTTATAACTCAAAATTTTTTTCTCTTTGAAAAAACGATCAGTTATATTTGATCCAAAAATTACAACAAAAATTTCCAGAATAAGAAGTATATTGTTTTAGCAACCAACAGATTGCTAAAATTGTCAAATCTGAATTCAACCTTTTTTTATTTTCTTGTTCCATGGATAACGATTCTAAAGAAATTTTGAATGGAATTAATCTACGATTGAATGATATTGATCTGAAACTATCATTTGTTCTGGAACTGCTCACAAATCGACTACCAGAAAAATCGTCGAGAGAACAGCTGACAACACTACAGCTTCTGCAATCTCAATCACATGAAATGATGAGTGATCGTAGAAATATCAGCAGCTTCCCAGGTTCAAAAGATCAGCGACAAGAGCAGACATCAGCATTTGCCGTAGAAGATACGGTTGGTGAAATAGCCTTCGGCAACACTGTTCCATCGTTGCAAGTGGACAACAATGAAAAATCGGTTCAGCGACTGCAAGATGATATATTACCAGAAACGTCGTCCATTTCGACTAGAGGAAGATCAACAGCTGGCGTCACGGCAATCAACGATAGCGAAGGCGACGAGGAAGAAGTTGATGATTATGACGATGAGTTGGATGAGGTAATTTGATTCGTTTCACATAAAATTTATATCAAGTTTGTATTTATGCTTGGCTGATGAAACTGGCGATCAAGTACTGATTTCTAAAAAGAAAAAAAAATGAAATGATCCAATTCATTATGAAGAAATTCCCTTTTATGATTTACATATATAATATTATACTTTGTGGTGAAGTTGGAAATGATCTCAAAATTCTTTTCTTTTAGGTTTTTTTTCCAGCATATTATATTACAATTTACTTTTTCCTTTCCGGAATTTATAACAAAAAGTGAGACAGAGGAGGAACAATTGAAAATTTTATATGGTAAAAGTGAGTGAGAGTGAAGATAGCAATTTCAAATTTTTTTACCGTGTTATTATAAGAGTGCAAAATTTTGCGATAAAGGTCGAAACTTTGAAAGACTCGATTTTGTGAAAATTGATTTTTATCCACTTAAAACATCTCATAATTTAAAATCTAGGATGTTGCAACAACAAACCAGGATCGTGAGGTGAAAATAATTCATGCAGAAAGCAATTTTCCTGAAGGAGCGGTACGACGAGCTGCCGAAAAGGCAGCAAGAAGTTTTCAAAGTACTCAACCAAAAGTGAGAATTTTTCTCCATGACCCATATATTTATATTACCACTTTTACTAATAATATTAATTAACGATATATGCCATTCATCACAACATCTATTTTCACGGTGAAATAACGGAACAAAAATTATTTGCTATGGATATTGAGTAACTAATGTAACATTTTGATTATTGAAACTGAATTGGATTTCATGAAAAGATTTGAGTACAGTTATTTCTTTTGATGAATGTTCTCTTCTTTCTTTTCATTTTCTCGATTGTTCTTATTTCTTTTTGCCTTACAACATCTTCTATTCTTCATTTAACTTCTTTCTATTCTTAGCATTCAAAAAAAGATCAGTTAAAAGCGACCTTCTGATAACTCCTGTATTATAGTAAATAGCAATATAGTATCTTTGCGGCATTTACTTTAAAAGATGAAAGATTAAATGATAAGAACTTTTGTTTCTTCTATAGTTTGATTTCATCAAAAAGTTTTTATTCACTTACATACATGCATTCCTATTCTGTACCTTCTCCAAATTTCTTTTTTCTAATGACTCTTTTTTTAATTACATTTATTTACAAATAATTCAAAATATAAAATATATCAATTTGTTCAGTAGATGAGTAGGGAAAGAAGTGCATAAATAAGAAATAAACTTAACTGAAGAGAGTTACTCGGATAATACTAGAGGATTTGGAGAATGTTAAATCATATGAAATGAAAATAAGAGACAATAGATTTATTGCAAATCATCTACAAAACTTCATTAGCCATATCATTTATAGTTTATCATCTTTTTTTTTCCCTGAATGAGCAGACGACGATATTAGTCACTAAACTATCCTTGTTAATCAAACTGATAGTTATTCTGATGTATAACTTACTTCAGTATATTTTCTGCTTATCTGAAACATGTATTCTTTACTGACCTGATTAAATCCGTTGCAATGACCATGTCATAATCAAACATGTCCAGTCGATCATCCAGTAGTGTCAGTTATTATTTTAATATAATCGGAATAAAAATCGATTTTTTAAAGAATAAAAATGAAATTGTCTTAAGAAAATGAATAGAGAGATGGAAAAATAAAAGAGAAATAGAACAAAGTAGAAGAATTATTACGAGTCATGAAACCTACTAATTATTGCTGATAAACGTAATTATTAATTAATTTAATTATCTTCATTAATAAATGATAATTGCTTGAAATTGATTATAGGTTTTTGCATGGCAAATATTACGAGAATCGGTTACTGATCAAGAATTGCGAAATGTGCATATATCCTTGAGAACATTTCATGGTGAAACTGCAGAGCATCTCTTATCTCGGCAATTACCAAAGGTTTGGTAATTTTATTGTAAGCTGAACAACTGTAGTAATAGAAATAGAACTAGAAACAGAAATTAATTGACGAATGATAGAAAGAAATAAGTAAATAGAAAGATACTTCTAATTTCGCTTTACTTGAAAGGTTTTTTTCTTATTCCTTCACATTGTACATTATATATTAACATTTTAACTTTTAACTATTCTAGTTTTTATTAAAATCATTTCACATTTCTTTCTAATTTGAAGAAAAAAATGTTCTGAGAGAGAAAATGAAGATTTTATGATGTTTGTTGTGACTTCAACTCGCTAAATAATAATTATTTAGCATAATAATGTTTCATTGTTATCACGTTGCCCTACTTTGTTCCCTGTTCCCTCTTGTAGTCACTAATGCCAGCTTATTGCTTTTTTATTGTTTCTTGTAAATTCGACTTTCTCAGATAAGAAAAATAATTAAACATTTCATGCTTAAAGTAATTATATTCCAATGTTGAATACACTTACAAAAATGATATTATAGATACGTCTGGTAGTGGAAGCAACAATGTCCTATTTCAAATGGGATCAACTGAGTGATGAAAATCAGTTAACCAAAGCTAAACTCTTATTAAGTCATCTAAAAAATAACGCTAAGGTTCGGAATTGGACTCTTAGAGAAGGACGTCCGAATCGGTAAGTTTAATATCTCCGGCAAATTTAATATATAATATAAATCTTTAGGAAAAGCAGCTTATCAATAAATTTTTCAAAATTAATATATACGCATTCTATCTCTAATAAACATATCAATAACTACAGGGCTAATTTCTACCCCATTTCATAATAGTGTTTCGGAATATCTTTAAGTTGCAATTTTTTGTAGCAAGGTAACGCCTTCCATAGCTGAACAAGTACAACAAATATCATAGCGTGACAACTTCGAATTTCAAATAGTAATAAATAAGGAGGGTGTATTTTAAATTTAAAGAGAAAAAGTTTCCTCGTAGGATATCGAACACGATGGATGCGGTATGGAAACGTTATGCAGCTTTACTTGGACAAACCGGCCTTGCTACGGTCGGTTTATTACCAAGCCATATAAGTCAGCTCAACCGATGAATTCAATGAACAGTTCGAAAGCCTACCTCATAAACTTCTTATTCACTTCTTTATTTTCTTTTACATGTGTATGTATTCGTTTCTCCCACTGCACATTCAACATTTGAATGGAATGAAATGCGCAACCTAATAGTGAATTTTAATTTGCAGCACAAAAATTAAGATTTATACTGAAGAACAGCTCTTCACTCCCAGCCAAAGCAGTGTTCAAACACATTTTATCATCACTGACTTCTTTGATCTTAGGAAAAATTATCACAATCATGACTGGAACGAGGAATTTGTTGGTTATCACTGAACTCATGCCACTTCTCGAACTACCAACCTGAAGTATGCCATCAGTCCCTATATTAAGAACGGTTTCACTTCAATATTTCAAAACACTGTCGGAATTTTACGTGTCTGCGACTCATCAGAGAGAATGATCTTTCGAAAGCACGAGCATATGTATTTCCAGCACTAGACAATGTACTTTGTTGTACATGTAGCGTCGGATCACATCAGTGCTTCCCAATGATTTTTAAAATATGCTGTTTCCGCAAATGAACAGTCATAATTTATTACATACGCAACGCGATAAAGGAGAAAATAAGCACTGGAAATTACAATAAAAACATGTAGGAGGAGCAAAGGGAAATGGTATGAGTTAGTTCAATAACGGAAAAAGGGAGACGACATAAAATGTCCATGGATTGGTTTACAGTTTTCAATAGAAAGCAGTTGGCACCACATATAAATAAAAGCGGCACTTGGACCAAAAAAAGAACAAGCACAAATCTATCACAAAGATGCTTAACTCTAGTAACGGAAATAAAATGAATTATGCAAACATTTTTTTTCTTGTTACATGGATTTCGAAACATGAATTTCCATAAGTATCAGCGCGAAAAGCTTGTAAAATCGTTACATTACCACAATTTCTTCAATCTCGCATTTTATCCGATTAGTTTTTAATAGACTATCGTTAAGCACCGTGTGTAGGACAACCGATGATAAACTGAAGTTCTACGTCTCAACAAAGAATTTACCATTGATATTTTTAGTTTAAACAAATATGACATTATAACTCCAGACTGTTAGAAGTTTTCATACAATCACGTTCCATACGTTTCAATACTCGCTTTTTACAAAGATATTCCTGAAATGGATTTAACATAAAATTCCTAATGTCAGTAATCTGAAAAGTTCCTTACACTTTAGAGAGAAAGTGAAAAATTCCTTACACTTTAGAGAGAAAGTGTTTTCAGATTAAGCTACCTAATCAACATTCAACGGTTGAGAAAATTAAAATTGAACGATCTACTTCATGCTATACTTGTCCCAAGTTTTTTTAGCTATTGAAATTTTATATTTAATATTCTCCTCGCAACACTCGAAATCTATGTCTGGTTACACATAATAACCAGTATGAAAAAAAACCACAGTTTGGAATGGTAATGCGATGAAAAAAAATATAAAAATACCACCTCAAGTAGCGGTCTATCTTGATTATAGTACCATTGTTCGAGATCATTTTCATAATGTTCTAACAGTGTTTCACAATTCTGTTTTAATGTTACGACTTCAACGGATGGAGTATCCCACATTTCGTATGGCATACCTAATTCCACCTGCAATTAACATCTACCAAAATCAAAATGATGTATTTCTGAAAATTCCATGATGTTTTTGAGCAACGATTAACTACAAAAGAACGGTTTCACTTCGATATGCAAAGCAGCTGTGCAATACAACACATACTGAAATCGTCAAATGAATTTTTAGTAGAGACTCCTGTGATCTCATAAAGGTGCAACATCTAAGATACTTAAACTAAAGTGTACTTAAACAATAAGTCTTTAAAATAAAAACCGGAATATCCTAAATATTCACTAATCACTATTATATAATACAAACGTAAGATGCATTGAAAGTGGACAAACCTTAACTCCTTTATTTCTTAGCTCATTCAAAGCTTTCATTGTGGTGCTTTCTTCTTTGGCAAATCGCGAAATGTCTGATTTCTCTTTATGCACTTTATATTGCAGCATTCGCTCGCAAGTGCCTTCCAAAGCTTCCACAAATTTAAGTTCCCTTTCTACGGCCGAAATCTATAATAAATTCTCCATTCCATCCTGACCCGCAAACACATTAAAAGTTCAAAGACTAACGTTTTCTGCTTTCTTCAAGAGGCCAGTGACAACAGAAAAGATATACATAACAGTAAACGACAAGATATATGATTATCTTCGTGTATACTTTTTTTAGAAACTTCTAGATCTTTTTTCATTCTTTTTATCCTACTCATTTTAAAAAAATGTTTTAAATTTGCCTTAACATTTCCATCTGCCAACTGTTCCTCAAATTCTCGCGCAGATAATACACATGATTCGCACCGTGACGGAAGATCGACCGTTGGCTCAGCAATAATTACAAACGACTTCGAATATACAATTAATACAACAATGAGTAAAGTAAAGAAATTAGGAAGATGTCGTTGGAGCTTTTTGCCGTTGTTGTGGCTGTTGCTGCTTCCATTCCTGCTCGTCATCATCATGTTCTGTCGTATACATCTATAAAGGAAATTTGACTCATGCAAAAAAATATCTCGCCAAAATCTAAATGTTCATTTTGATATGCAAAAAATCAACCGGACTACTAAGAAAAATCAAAAAAAAAGATAAAGATAAAAAAACTAAGTCTACTTTCACCCATTTTAAAATAATAAGTAAAACTGACATGCAATCGTTGACGTTTACGGGTATAATATTGCCACTGCAGTAACTGCTGTTCTTCGATAAACTTTGCATTTGCTGTACAAGTTATCGCCTCACGAAAAGCTGAGCTCTGTACCGCTTCAAGAAAGTGTAAACACTGCGGATATTTCAAAGCTCTGCAGAAAAATCAGAAAATTGTCCTTGGAAAAGGTTAAAATCATTGCAAAGTAATGTAAAACACTTGACTGTTTTACTTAATTAAAGGACACTTAAAAATACTAGACAGTCAATAAAACTAACCTTGCGTATTCTGGCCTTTTCCAATACAAGAGGTATTTCAAATAATTTATAAAGCAGGATTCCTTAAAATAACCTCGCTGTGCCAAAACTGAAATTACTTCGGTTTAAATCATTTGAAGTTGAAATTCGCTTCAGTTAATACCAATGTTAAATATGGGCAAACAGAAAGCAAACAAAATGCGTTCTATTAAAAAAAATTATTTGCTAAAAAAGAAAACATACAGTTCAAATAATGAGGATTAGCTAAAGCCTGTACAAATTCACATTCAATTTCGAATCGCTTCTTTTGTTCCTCAGATGTTTCGGGACCCGAAGCTGAGTTTAGACCAGAACCTTCAATGATTTTTTTTGGTGTGGTAAAAAGATAGATTATAGATGACCAAACTTCCAAATTTTGGAAGAACACAGTTCATAAGAGAACTTACCTCGCAAAAGATCCAGATTGCTCAATCGCTCGAAATTTCTGTGATAACTAGAATCATGGCTTTTTAAAAAAAGACTGCTGTGCTCATCTAATTTTTACGATTAATTACTAAAGTAGTTAGCACTTCAACTGTCCCACTTCCTACTTGAACTTTTAAAAGCTAAAATACTACATAAATCAATTAAGATTTTTATCATATTTCACTTCATACATTTTTAACTCAGCATGAAGATTTCATTCATAGTAGGTCTTTCGAACAACTGCTTAATTGTATTTTTAGAAGAAACACTTCTTACTAAGAAAGTTGCATATCAAAAACTATGGAAAAAGGAAGCTTCAAGAGAAGAACGAACTAAAAGCTTTAGAGCAAAAAAAAATTGAGAAAAACGATAAAAATTTATTGATAAAAAACTAGAAAATAAAGATTCAGCATGCAGAAAGGATATTTAACAAAGAAAGTAACATAGCGATAAACAAATCACTGTCGAACTTCTTCTCAATTCACACTATGAACGATTTTCAAAACATTTTTTTTGTGATGTATTTAGGGTTGTGATATTTCTCTGAAGTATTTTGAATAAAAATGGTTTAATAAAAAAGCGAATTCCTTATCAGAAGAAAAATGGAAAAATCTAAATAATTCTTGCAAATGTTTTTTAAATTAAAACTAAAATCTTCTACTGAGCAATTTCATATTTTTTGTATTCTAACTTCGTAACATTTTAATTAAACTGCATTAACAATCATAACTTATTTCTATCATTTCTTTCCTACAATAAGCAAATTTTCAGGCGAAACAGTTCTTTCCACATATCTACACAAGGAAACATGATATCCAAACTTTTGAAGTTCTACGACTCGACCAAATTCCAAAACTGCTTTAGCTTTCAGTCCAAGAAGTTCTTTTTCCAACGAATTCAAAGAGGTGCTTTCCAACACTGCTTTCTGTTGATCGAAATTTTCCTGAAGAAGATGAAGACTTCGTAATTCTATAAATTTTGCAACTACTCTTATTTTCACGACTGAAAAAATTTTTGTGGAAATTTTGACTGAGAAAATTTTTGTGGGTAATTACCTGAACGGGTAAACCGCAAACGGCCCATGTTGAAATATGCCTTAAAGCTGCAAATTCATTAGCGCCACAAATACCATGATATTCCAAGAAGGTACGACCAACATACTGAAAAACGAGAATAACATAAAAATTGACGAATTCGGATCATACTGTCTTTGAGCTACTGAAAAATGCTTAATCAATAAAAAAATCTAATTATTAACCTCTCTGTATGTAGTTCGATGATGGCAACATGGTGCTAAAACAAAACCACATATATTCAAACCATTTTTCACTCCATTCATTAAACATCGAATACCAAGATCCGTGGCAGCACCACAGAAATGTTTGCATACCGCTGCTATATTATCCACATTCTAAAATTTTTGAAAGGCTTTATATTTATATTTACATAATATGCCTTTGAAAACATAAGTTATAGGCGAAAAATGACCAAAGTTCGGAAATTCTAGCTTTAATTTGGAAGAAATCCCTGCTTCTGTCGCTTTTCCTTGAATCATTTTTTAGCAATTTGCCAATTCACCTGAATCAAATCAGTTTTCGACAAATCAAGATGCTCCACAGAACAGCGTAGTCGTTCAAAAAATATTTCATCCAGTTCCTCAATTTGAAACAAATTTTTAGTAGATATGAGGAGTGTCCACGAGACTTTCTATGTCATTAAAATCTAATGCATCATCTTTCTCTCACTCCAAAAAAATAAATATATTTCTCCTTCCTTTTTTATGTCAAAAAAAATTTTCACAACAGTGCCTTATCCAACTGAAAATTTAAACATGAAAAACTAGATGGTTGGAGCATTTACCTTATGAATTTTACTATCAAATTTATTTCGTGAGCCCATCTTCTCAATCAGAAGAAACCGAGATTTTGGAGCAACTTTGGCCATCCAGTATGAAAGTTCTGCTTTGCCAGTTCCAAAATCTATTAAACACCAGCGCTCATCGTTATTCAGTAAATCGACTACTCTCAGATGTTCTGCAAAGAATGAACATACTGAAAATTATTTAAAAATTGGAATAAAAGTAATTTAATAAAACGCGCAGAAACTGAGCAAGGGGAAACCTAACATTCCAATTGAATGCATATCTTTGATACGAATCTGAATTGTTGAAACCACCTATTATCGATGATATCTGCCAGATATGTTTTTTATTTACTTTTGAAAGATCCGCTACACAGCTTTCAATATAATCATTTTTCAGAAAGGAATCGGTAATATCATTAGCTATCTGGTCGTATATTCTTTCGACCATTTCCCGCACTCTCAACAATTCGCCATTTGTAGGACGATACCATGGTTCCACTTCCTTTGGAGATCCTTAAAATATATTTTGCACATAAAATTAAACTAAAAGATATTAAAGATATTAACTAAAAGACTCCATTTTTATAATTTTATAAATTTTATCGTAAAAACAGCCTAAATTATTATACCGAGTTTATCCCAATATAAATTAATTCTGGAAAAAGTTACGCAATAGAGATAAGGAAATGAAAAGAATAAACCTGTCAGATTAAAATTTTCAACAATCCACGGTTCCTCAGGTAAACGACTGTTACACCGAGAAGATAAATGTTTCTGCAGTTGCGATTTGTTCACTGTATGTTTTGGATCATTCGGACAAACTACACGATCCTGAAAACTGCAAAAGAAACATAAATAATTGCAAAATTCAAACACTAATTCTTTTAAAGTATTTAATTAATAGTGAACGAGTAAATTAAGGACACGAAACGAAAAAAATAAAGGAAAAGTTACGGAAAATTCACAATAATCTCATTTAAACATGGAAGACCTCATTCAGCACATCGCAAATAGCATGCTCTCCACAGTATTTCTGGCCATATTTCACCAGCATTCGACATTTTCGGTTTTTCTTTTTCAAAACAAATGAACATCGTTCCATAAACTGCAAAAATAAACAAAAGATTCTTAAAAATACGAAACTTTTCAGGGTTCAAATAAAGAAAAACGAATAGAGACATTAAGAGAAAATCCCAGTATTGAAGGTTATATCATAAACAAAAATCTGGAGGTCTACATAAGATCAAGTCATTTTACAATAAGATTTGATAACTTTTGATCTATCTTTTCAACTCTTTCACGAAGACTAGCATGAAAATTGAAAAGGTGAAACGTTTACACCGTATTCAATATATTATCATATTGCATGTAATGTGCTCTGAAGTTTTAATCATGACCATAGTCACTACAACACGGAAGAAGTAATTGAGGAGCTCATAGGACCCCTGGATGCTTTGTAGGCTAAAAGGCCTACTCTTGAGTAGCTGGGCGCTTTACTACTTTTATTTTGTATTTTTTTAAACTCTTATACAGAAGCAAAAACAGATTATGTAAAGATTCGCTTGGCAACAAATATGCAGTGCTCAAAAAGGTCGCGTAATATATCATAAGATTATCCATATCTAGCTGTTGTCTTTTTTTGATAACTTTTTGTATGTAATTTTCCCTGTGTACAAAGTAAATCGAAATGAGTATTTTCTCTTTGTCTTAAGCTATGAACAACATAGAGAATCGGTAATAAATGGATATTTGGATGTCACATCAAACATAAACCACACTGTCTATAAAATTGGACTCAGAATTGACTGATGAAACTGCCCGAGAACTCTCGTAAAAGCCTCCTGCTGCAAAACATCTACACGCCGACTGTTGGTATTATAATGCAACAACATTAGGCTCATTGTGAAAACGCTGAAAATCGATTCAAACAAATGGCAACTCACCGAATGCCAATTCAAAATTAGTTGCTGATCAAACAGGAGATGAATGGGTAAATTTAGAATAATGTTTGCTGTTCGAATAAGAGATGGATAAGACAACTTTCTCACAATAATTAAGTGAATGGGCAAATGCCAAACAAAGTTCTGGAACTATGAAAACGACAAATACCCAAAATTTGCATATTTAAATTTCAAGAAATAGAAAAATGTGAGCGGCATTGTGTTTGAGAAATGTAAGTAGCATTATATTTTGTTAAAATAAGAATTAATGCGTGTTTGATGGGTGTTCTTTGGTAGTACGCTAACGTTGAAGGTTCCAACTTTTTGTAGAATTTAGAAAATTTGAATAAATTCGATTGAAATTATGTCTAAATACAAAATTTATACTAAAGCTTTTAGCGTTATAAAATAATAGAATACTTATCATTGGTTGAGGAAGCATTCTCAAACATTGACAAGACATTCTTAAAGAGTGAAATGGTTCATTTCAAAATGTTAGACTTCGAGACACTCCAATTTCTTGAAGTTGTCGGTTATATCGTTGGGAAAGATCATCTCCGGAAGGCACTTCGTCGATGGATTTTTGTTAGTTAACCACGTTTATCTTTCATCTTGTTTACTTTTTTAAATACTTTACTCATATTCCTCAGTTGTCTTAGCCAAATGTTTTTGATCACATTTCATTTAACAAATCCCGACAGATTTTAAATTCAGGTAGTTCCAATTTGAGAACTATTTGTAAGGTTCAGTATGCCAGCCAGAATTCTGCATACTTACTCTAAAGTTTTTCCTTTTTAAAATTCCAATGTTAAATTTTGAAAAGTATTAATTCTTTTTTTCTTCTACCAATGGTATTTTTTTGATTCACATATTTGACTTTAAGTAATAAGTAATGCTTTGCAACGCGAGAATGACAGCGGTGAAGAAACAAAATGTGATATGTATTCCAGTGATTTCAAGTAACTTGAGAACGATTTCAGTGTTAACCACTCCATCTGAGCTTATTTCCTATTGACAACCTAAGTAGCAAATTGATCAGATAAGGCAGAAAGTGATGATTAAAAGCTATTGAATTTCCGGAGTCTAACTGAATGTGGAAATAACTAAACTAAATGATCGGAAATGCCAGTAATAGTTATAAATTATGATTTTGAGTAATTTTAAGATGGCCTTAAAAAATGCTCAATTATTAAGTTTACCATTCTTTGTATTTTTATTATTCACCGGTATTTTTTTAACTTTTAGCCAATTAGCTGCTATAATTTTTTTACCTTTAAAATCTTATATTACAAGGTTGTAATCGTATACTACTGCTACCAACCAAAGTTTCATTTTTAGCATTAAAATATTTCTCATAATTTAGAGATAGGAACAAATAAGTGAACTGAAAATAAACAAATTTTCAATTAACAAAATATTTCGATCGCTTTATAAATATAACAATCCCTTAATTGCAGTTGAATAGCGTTAAGAAGACAGTTTGAGTTTTGGTCGATGAACGATGGCACAACGAAAAAACGTTGATTAAATTTTTGCTTTGCGGTGAAATGATTTTCTTTTTGAATTATTTTCAACCTTTTATTGATTGATTTTTTTAATAATTTAATTATGTAAATATTTATTAATTATTTGTTCTTTATCAGTTTAATTGCATTAAAATTTCTATTAAATTGAATTAATTCATGAAATTAGTATCGAGAAACAAAAGATCTATGGCAAGGAAGTGATAAATTTTGACAAATTATAGTGTAAAATGTTGAGTTTTCTGTATGGTAAAGAGAAAGGTGGACGTTGTGGCAAATCAACTTATTGCCAATCGTCGGCGTCTTCTTTTAAACAATGATTCATTGCAGTGTTGCTTTAAACGTTTTAACGAAAGGTTCAAAGGCATGAAAAATTTTTTTCTGTTTTTACTGTCATTAAATCACTTCAGAGATTTTTTCTCTGCTTTAAAAACTGTATTTGTTGTTCGATTTCATGGAAATCTAAATAAATTTAAGCGAAAGAACTTGAAGTTAACCTTATTAAATCTAATCAAAAAATTAAGCATTTAATAAACTCTAACAAATAATGTAAAGATAACATTGTCAAAGAAACTTTTCAATTGATAAATTTGATTTTCAACACAAACTGTCATATCACAACTTCACAGTTTTTACTTATTATCAGTTTGTTTTTCAATAACTAACATTTTCAATCTTTTCATTTTTTAATTTAATAAGTTTATGATTTATTTCAAATGAGTTTCTGCACAGCAATACATAAGCTATTTAAATGAATACAATTGTTTTTTTAATGTCTACTTAGAAATATATTTAATATTAAGATATTAATCATTATAATATTTATTGTTGTTGCTCGATAGGACAAAGTTCTCTGCAATGATAAGCAATTAAAAAGGAACAATAAAGAAAGAAAATGAAACTAGAAATAATCAGTCAAATCCAACATTTATAATTATGTTGACACTAATCACTAATTGTTCATTGTCAATGAAAGTGATAGCGATTATTAATATTAATGATCACTATAATAGAATGATAATGGTGATAATGATTAAAACAACTATCGTAAATAATCTTTCGCTTAGGAAACCAAAATTGAATTCTCCCTGACAAGAAGTTTACGATTTACAACAGAAACCGGTAAACATCAAAGGATTCATGGGTTAATGGAAATTTCCAATTTACAGCGAAAATTAAAGACTGCTTTTGTACCATTAAAAAACTGCAGACAACATCAATATTGACATCAATATTGTACGCAAAAAAAGGTCAAAGGCTACAGGGTGAAAAGAATATACTGATTTCAAGAAGTTACGCAACAGCAAACATTCGTTCTTAGAAATATTGATGAAAGTACTCAATCCTCACCTCAATCCCTAATGTCAGCCTGCGAACGGCTGGGCGTGGTTGACATTGTTTCGATGAACACATTTCGTTTTTCTTAATAAATTGCTTGAAAATTACTCAACGAAGTTAAATTTATTCCAAGCCAACTTCAGATTGCGTTTAGCGGAATTTATCAGCCAGCACTTCTGAATCAATTTTAATTTTCTTTTTGCAACCAAACGATTGCTACTTCTTTTTTCTGTTTCTAAAAATATCAAATTATCCTTTCGTTCTTTACTTAAATACCATTTCTGGTTTCGGTTTCAGTTTTGATAACAGTCTGTATGAACAAATTTCGTTTCTCTTTTTGCATATCGCGTAGCAAAGATGGAATTTCTTTTTTTAAATTTCGTTCGTCTACCTTATATCAGCACTTCTAATTCTTTCTCAACATTAAAATCGTATTCAGGAAAATGAGATATCATCCACTGATCGTATTAATTTTAAGTCCATTTGTGTATCCTTTGTGCAGTCACCTACGTCGAACACCTTTCACTCAGCAAGCAACTGTTCCAGACAAACTTCTTTTCGGTAAGACTTTGAACTATTACCTTATTATCTAATAATGCATGACTAAAAGATGGGTAAAAAGTATGAAATCTTTATAATCTTTTGAACTTAGATCAAATTCAGAATAACTAATCTTTGATGGAAATAAATCCATTTTAAATAACTTGAGTAACATTATTTCAGCATTTAACAAGATTTTCTTCCTTTTATCTTTATCACTCAATAAAGGTAAATATTTCGTGTAGATACCGTATCTATCCATCTACGATAGTTTCCGGTTTTAATTCAAATTCCATCTATTTCTTTATCTTTTCCAATATAGTGGAAGATATCACTGCTAAAAATCAACCCTTCCACACCCTTAAACAATATATA